AGCACTCTATGTAGAGTCGTCTGCTGTTTCGACCTTCAGGAGGAGGACCTAGAGGCTCCTCCTGAAGGGAACACAGACTGGACTTCTACATAGAGTCGCGCGGGGGGAAATGTGGAGGCACGCCCCAAACCCCATGCAAGCCCCCCCTCAGAAACAACTCTGACATCTAATCAAAAGGCTGACAAAGGAGGTGGTTGTCATCTGAATGTCGGAAAGAAGCGCCCCCCCCGCTCAACCACCCTTGTCCCCTGAAGACACCCCCACGACAACCCCCCCCCCACCCCCCCCCCCCCCCCCCCCCCCCCCCCCCCCCCCCCCCCCCCCCCCCCCACACCCCACCCCCACACAGCAAGAACTCAAACAGGACAGGCCTAACAAAGAAAATAACAGAACGCCACTAGCCGTCACCTTCAGCCCCCAACTAAAACCCCTCCAACGCATTATTAAGGATCTACAACCTATCCTAAGGATGACCCAACACTCTCACAAGTCTTGGGAGACAGGCCAGTCCTTGCCTACAGACAGCCCCCCAACCTGAAGCAAATACTCACCAACAACCACATACCACACAACAGAACCACTAACCCAGGAACCTATCCTTGCAACAAAGCCCGTTGCCAACTGTGCCCACATATCTATTCAGGGGACACCATCACAGGGCCTAATAACATCAGCCACACTATCAGAGGCTCGCTCACCTGCACATCCACCAATGTGATATATGCCATCATGTGCCAGCAATGCCCCTCTGCCATGTACATTGGTCAAACTGGACGTCTCTACGTAAAAGAATAAATGGACACAAATCAGATGTCAAGAATTATAACATTCATAAACCAGTTGGAGAACACTTCAATCTCTCGGTCACGCAATCACAGACATGAAGTGCATCTTAAAACAAAAAACTTCAACGACCGGCGATGGATCTTGCAATGGATACTTTAGGCTATAGGACTGGGAGGGCTAGCTGAAGGCCCCCCCCCCCGCCGCAAAGCGGGGGGGGGGGGGGGGGGGGGGGGGGGGGGTAACCTATTTCCCCTTGTTTTCCTAACTCCCCCCTCCTCCCCTTCCTCAGACGTTCTTGTTAAACCCTGGATTTGTGCTGGAAATGGCCCACCTTGACTATCATACACATCGTAAGGAGAGTGATCACTTTAGATAAGCTATTACCAACAGGAGAGTGGGTTTGTTTGGGGTGGGGAGAAAACCTGGATTTGTGCTGGAAATGTAAGTTTCAACACTCTGATGCCATATCAAACAATTAAGATCTTACATGGGCCACAAAGGTACTTTTGTGATTCTGAGATAGCCCTGTTAAAGCTGGGATGATCCCAGAAAACTTGGACCAAGCAGCAACAATCACCATATAACTACTGGTTTCAGAGTAACAGCCGTGTTAGTCTGTATTCGCAAAAAGAAAAGGAGTACTTGTGGCACCTTAGAGACTAACCAATTTATTTGAGCATGAGCTTTCGTGAGCTACAGCTCACTTCATCGGATGCATACCGTGGAAACTGCAGCAGACTTTATATATACACAGAGAATATGAAACAATACCTCCTCCCACCCCACTGTCCTGCTGGTAATAGCTTATCTAAAGTGATCATCAGGTTGGGCCATTTCCAGCACAAATCCAGGTTTTCTCACCCTCCACTCCCCCACACAAATTCACTCTCCCTGCTGGTGATAGCCCATCTAAAGTGACAACTCTTTACACAATGTGCATGATAATCAAGTTGGGCCATTTCCTGCACAAATCCAGGTTCTCTCACCCCCCTCCCAAAAACCACACACACAAACTCACTCTCCTGCTGGTAATAGCTCATCCAAAGTGACCATTCTCCCTACAATGTGCATGATAATCAAGGTGGGCCATTTCCAGCACAAATCCAGGTTTTCTCACATCCCCCCCACCCCCATACACACACAGACTCACTCTCCTGCTGGTAATAGCTCATCCAAACTGACCACTCTCCAAGTTTAAATCCAAGTTAAACCAGAACATCGGGGAGGGGAACAAGAGGAAATAGGCTACCTTGCATAATGACTTAGCCACTCCCAGTCTCTATTTAAGCCTATTGGATACTATTAATTTAGGCTTAAATAGAGACTGGGAGTGGCTAAGTGGGGGAGTGGAGGGTGAGAAAACCTGGATTTGTGCTGAAAATGGCCCAATGCACAAAGGCCGTTAAAAATAAATTAGATGTTAATTTATCAAAAGAATGGGATAGAAGACAATATTAAAAATATTGTAATGCCATATAAATCCATAGTACCTCCTCATCTGAAATGCTATTCACTTGTAGACATCATTTCCTCCTTTAAAAGATAACTAATAGAAGAGATCCAAAGATAGGCAACAAAGATGATCAGTGTGGAAACACTTCCATACTAGAAGAAGCTGAAAAAGTTAAGCTTGTTTAGAGAGAAGGTGAATAAGAAAAATGTTATTCAATGTATTGTTCATAGAAAGTGAACAGGGACGTAACAAGGTCGTCTGCCCCTTAAGGGCCTAGAGCCAGCCCTCTTTGGTTATCAGATCTTGCTGGAAAAGTGTCAGGTGAATGGTGACTTCTAAAGGGCTAAAGCTCAGTTGAAGAAGAGCTGCTGTGACTCCTGTGGTAGGCCCTAGACCAGAGGCGGAGCAGTTTCTAGACCCCTACAGACTGCTTTGGGCAGGAAAATTGCTTTGTTTTGGTGTTATTTTGTGATTTTTTGTTGTTGTTTGTTTGAAGAATAAACTACGCCCTGAAGGAAGGGCCTGAGCTGAGAAAACTCTGGGCCTTGAGTTGGTCCTTCTTGGGCTGAGAAGACAGGTCAGCATCCTATCTGTGGTGGAGAATGTGGGCAGGTGATCAGCCTTTGGAACCGAGGCAAAATTGAGGCAGCAGAAGAGAAAGTGCAAGAGAAAACAAAAGCAGCTACAGAAAAGACAAAGTCAGAAGAGACAGCTAAAGGGTTTTTCTGGTGGACCCTCCCCTTCCTTGGGATTTTTAGTACGGAGGAAAAAGATGGAAGATGTCCCTTTACTGGCAGAACAGCAGCAACAGACCCAGGCACTCCCTGCACTGAGTCACTCAAAGCAGGAGGATGTGCACCTTGTCTCAATAGTGACAGGATACCCAACACCAGCAACTGGAGACAGTCCTGCAATACCTGGAGAAATGGGCTCCAGGAAGTTTTACCAGACCTGGAGAAGATAGCTCAGGTAGGCCTGGCCCTGGGTTGGTGAAGCTGGAGCTAGAAAATGATCCCAAGGCCTCCTTCCACACCTCTGAGCAAGTGATCAGTGGTGTTGGCAGGGAGGAATCAAGTTGGGAAGCTAGTGTGGCACCATCAGTACTGGTAGCCTCAAGAGATCAATAATTTTGAGGTCTGGGTTTTTTTGTAACTATATGGTGGGGGTTTTTTTGGCTGGTCTTCTGATTTTGAACTCCCCTGCTAATCCCCAGTTGGTGGGACAATTAGTGTTGCCCACTCTCCTAAATCTATTGGATAAGGTGATTTTGGCCTCCATGCAGGATCTCTCACCCCCACATCTGCCCATCCTCTGCCAAGCAATTAATTCTACTCCCAACCTCCAAATCAGTCCTGTCCCCCCATCAATTCTGCCCCCACAATCAGTTCAGTGCCCTGCACCTCTGTTCCTCCTGGGGTGCTTCACCCGCTCCCAAACCTGTGGGGCTGCATTGCTGATAGGAGGGAGCAGAGCAGCTGGGCATTTGCAATTCCCTTCTCTCCTCCTATGAGAACCGCTCTGAGGGAGCTTTTCCTACAGCAGCTCTGACTGGTTGTTGGGCTCCAGGAGGCAGGCAGGTGGGTCAGGCACAGGCAGACAGTCAGAGGGATTTTTCCCTCAGGCAGAGCTCAAATTCACCTGAGGGCTGGAATTCCTCCTGTTATGGCCAGATGGTCTCCAGCTAGGGTGACCAGATAGCAAGGGTGAAAAATTAGGATGGGGGGTGGGAGGGTAATTGGCACCTATATAAGACAAAGCCCCAAATATCAGGACTGTCCCTATAAAATCGGGACATCTGGTCACCCTATCTCCAGCCCAGGCAAAATCCTGTTCCTTGTGGAAAACATGTGAGAATTGGCAATATTGCACCATTCCTAATGGGAGAGGCCAGGCAGCATCTGGAACCTGGAGTCATGAGCAGCTTGGCTCCTATCCTGAGGCAAATGCTGCCATTTTAAATACCCTGGGACTGATTCTGGTGGCCTACTGTCACCAATATCAGCTCAAATCATTTCCAGCTGTTGCAGGAGTAGCTGTGTCCAGAGATGAGGTTGTGTCCTGCAAGGGTATAGATGGTAGAACTTGTGGTGGGGCTGGACAATGTTCAGGTGTGCGTAGGGAGAGAGGCGCAAAACAGGATGGTCTGCTCCTTTCAGGGCCAGGGGCGGGACACCCCCCCCCCCCCAGGGACATCAAAAAAGGCAACAAGGCTGGTAGTGAGATGTTGAACATTTCCATTACAATCTAAAGCAAAGAAAATCTCATCCCTGCAGTCCCTGCACACCTTTGCCTTTCAAGGTCAAGGATTCTCTGTCAACTTCTCAAAACACATACACAAATACATAGGCTTGTCATTGATACATTTTTCACTCTTACAGTAAATGTAAGCAGCTAATGATTTTTATTTTTATTTTTTACTTTGAATAAGGGGTTGCCAACCTGCAAGGTTGAGAAACACTGTCATAAATCTTCATATGGTCCCCTTCAATTAAACGATCATTCAGAACAGATTTTAAATGGATTAGATGAAACAGGACCCCTGCAGAGGGAGATACAAGCATGCCAACCCCACCCCACCCAAACCAGCCCCACTGAGGAAGTGCTCTCCACTCCTTCACCCCTTCCACTTGAGGGAGAGGCGAGGTCATGGAGTCTCCCCGCCGGAGCAGGAACTTGCAAACGCATGGGATCAGCAGAGGGCTCTCGGTCCCCGTCACTGTGGCCTGGACTACAAGTCCCAGGATGCTCTGGGGTTTCCAAGATGGCGGCGCTCAGGGGTGGCTGTGGCGCGAATGTTTCGGACTCGGAGAGCAGCAGCGCGGAGGACTTGGAGCGGTTTCGCGAGGCCGCCTGGGACCCGGCTGGGTGGCGGGCGGCGGTGGTTCCGCCGGAGCCCGGCAGCGGTAGGGCGGCTGGGGGTGACGCTGGGGTCCTGTGTTTTGGTGGCGACAGGTCCGACCGAGAGCAGGCGCTTCCCCTCCTATGGGTGGGGGCAGCACCCAGGGAAGCGGGGACTGGACTCCCCTGATCCGGTGGAGTGCCCTAGGCTGTCACACCCCAATTCCGTTCCTGCCTCTCTGGTCCCTGGGTAGTAGCCGAGCCTGTGGCTGGCCCACATCTCAGTAAGAGCAGCCAGACCCCAAAGCAGGCGAGGTGGCTAGCTCTGGATTTTGGGTGCTGGAGGGCCTTAAGGGACAGTAGGTGGGTGCAAGCCCCTGCCCCCCACACTGTGGCCTCTCAAAGGCAGTTTTGCTCCTCCATTACTAACTGAGCAGCTTTATGTGTAATTATGATTGTGTCTAGAGTACAGTTGGTGTAGGAACTAAACTAATGGTGAACTCAGACCTGACTCAAGCAGGGATAGATTATGTTAAAAAATTAAAAAGTGGCATATTAAATCTCATGCTAACCTGCACTCTCTGTAAGAAAACACTTCTTAAAAACGGTCTTTAAAAGAAGTCTGAAATAATGAATCTCAAAAAGAAAGAATTGGGAGGACTGAGGATTCTCTAGCATCATGAATCATGTCTGGTGTCTTGTCTACCTTTCTTCACTGTACCTGACCTTGGTATAAGTCACACAGTTGAGTTATGGATCATACTTTGAATTACATCTGAGGAATTAATATACAGAAGAAAAATCGTTTTGCTATGCTGGCTCCTTACTCCCCATGCTGTCCTACCACTGTTTTTCTGGATAAGTGCAAAGAGTGTCTTGCATGCTGTCCAAGTCTGCTTGCTTGAATGCTGAGAGAGTAGAAAATCTGGAAATCTTCTAAGATCCTGTCTAAACTTTGATAGTTACTGCTTTGTAGACAGGGTTTTAATACAGTATTCCCTTGTTATGGTTAAAATATAGTTCAGTTCTGGAGTGTAGACCGCATCCATTGATGTTCCTGACCATACTAAAGCTTTAATCGTTTAGGACAGTAACATGATTTGGGAATATGCATCTTGGCTCCCTCTCTGCTGCAGAGTGACTCTTGCAATAGTTCTCTAGCATTGCAGATGAACCCACCCACCAAAAAAAGTCATTTGTTACAATTTGGATGGGACCCTCAACAGCCCTGTTTTAAAAAAAAAAAAAAAAAAAACCTTGCCTCATATTAAACGCTGGACAATGCTTTGTCTCTGCTGTTTAATCAGACAGAAGGTTTAAAATGTAGGTGTTACCTAATGTTCTTGTTTCTGTGAGAGAACCATATACTTTCTTTATACTCTCAGCAGAGGTTTTGACATGTTGTGACTGAAGACTTTCTTTCGATTTTTCTTAGAAAATGAGCCTGTACAATGTAAAAAATCAAAGGCCCAGTAATACAGAGGTTGCTGAAAGAAAAAAATCATCTTTATATAAATTAAATCAGTTGGCTCCACTTAAACTAGACATAGTATCCAGCTACTCAATCCAGACTGAATTTCTGGGTAACTTAATCAGTAGCTAACTAGCCAGATAGCTTTAGACTTACTCTATCTTGTGTCTTCACCCTGCCAGTGACCTTCATCTGTACCTCACCCTACTTCTAGGAAGCCCATCTAAAAATGCTAATCAGATTTGGCAGCCTTTCTGTCAAGCCCCAGAATTCAAACTTCAAAGTTTGGCTCTCCATGGGGCTCTGTGTCATAGAGTATGTGATATATGGTACTATCAATGGAGGACTTGGCTTGCCTTCCATTTAGGATCATAATAGAAAAGATATATTAGATTCTTGCCATAGCTGGATACTTCCCTCCAGTAGATGTTGGGTTCAGTATTAAACTCGTGTTGCATTATTTTAGCAAGTGGAGTTAGTCACTTGACATGTAGTTTGCTTGAAAAATGTTTCAAATCATATCCGTATCCTCCTTTGAATGCGACCACTATTCTATCTTCCAAAAATTACTTTTACGCTGTAAAATCATCTACAGTGGAATTAGGATTAAAGATGTTTTAGTCTTGGAGATTTCTAATTTGCCTTTGCTTTGTTTTATCAGGTGGCTTTGGGAAGGACAAGTTATTATCAGTTCAGCCCAGTCTCAGGTATTTTTTCTGGATTTCAGAGTGCTGTTTGCGTGAAGAAAAATGAAACCGTGATTATAGGCAGAACTTGTGCTGCCTATACAGTAGTTAAGGTTACCTGACCCTTTCCATTATAAGACATTGTCTTTTGTCCACAACTGAATACTAAGTGACCAAATATTTCCCCTGATTAATGGGGGAAGTAATCCCTGGTTTAGAAGCCTTGTGGTGGAGTCCACGTTCTCCTGTCTTCATTCTCAATATTTTTCTTTGATAGGCTTGGAGACTATGCTTACAATCTGGCAACTTTTAATAAAGTCCTCCCTTCAGGGGCAGGTTTGGAGTGAGCAGCAGCACATTGCTGATATACCCCCAACTCTGTTCTTCAGGGACAAAGGAATGAGAGGAGCATTCAAGCTCCAATCCTTGGCCTGTGCTGCTGAGACTCTCAGCAAAAGGTCAGTTAATACCAGTTATGTTGTTGATGCTTAGGGAATGTGGACATCTGTCTTTTGGGAACCATACTGAGACCACCCAAGCTAGCTTCACACATCCTAGTGAACAGTCTTCCGATGGTAGTGGCTTTTGGCCACTATCAGTCTGAGCTGGATTTGAATCGCTCACTTAGTGGTCTAAGGTGCTCTATCCCATTGCCAGTCCCCAGTCTTCAGTTTTAGGTGAAAGCAGCAGATGGTTACTGGGTCTGAGGGAGATCACACATTGTTTTTATTTCAAACAGACAGAAGGTGAATGACCATGACAGAGATGGCAACGAATTACAGACCACACCAGAGTTCAGAGCACATGTTGCAAAGAAACTGGGAGCAATATTAGACAGGTAACCAGTACCAAAGCACAGCGTTAAGAGATTAAATCAGCCTTAGTCAGAACCTTCCCTTGCAAGAGCAGTGTCAATACCCTTGAGTGGTAGAAGTGTGAATAACTGAAGAGTTAAATACATCTTTTTTTCATGGGAAACATCTTGTATTTTGAGGAAAGATTGTTTCTTTTCTTGTTTCTTACATCCCTGTGCATACTGCTGGCTTGTGACTGAGCTTCTAATGCTCGTGAACTGACCCTTGTCCTATTCACCCATTGGTAATGTAGTAGACCTGGTGTGTGCTACAGAGCCTTTCTTGTTAGCTTCAGTGCTCAGTGTTCTGTGTTGGGAAGGGAATAGATAGGATTGAGATTCACCAGAGCCACCTCCATTTATGACCAGGCTTTGAATCTGTTCAGGAAATTATCTAGTCCACGTGTGTGATCTTTTTTTCAACTTATCCATACAACAAACAAATTCAGCCTAACGCAGAGCTGTGCTGGCATCATGGTAGGTGTTCAAAGACTTCGCCTAATTGCAGATTACTGCTGCCTTTCTTTAATGTGGAAGTATGGCCCATGGGAACTAATGGGCTTCAGATACAATGTGGGTTGGCTGCTTGGAATGTTGCATGTCGATAGTTTCTATGTGCCACACTTCTGAATGAAATGGCTGTGCTCTGTGGAGTTAGCTATGAAAGTAAAAATATTGAAATTAACTGAGTGAAGGTTACTTAACTGCTCACTTTAATCTTGTTTAACATTTCCAACTTCTTAAACTCAGCCTGGCTACATAAAATTGAATATTTGTTTCCTTTCCTAAAATCAGACTGTGGTCTTCCTTATAGCTACATCACTGTCTTGGAGGATTCATCAGGTCCTGCATGGAATTCCACGCAAACAGCTGACTCTGAAGACGATGGTGAGTTCCAAGTACAATCACTGTTGTCAGCACTCATCTAATAGCTCTCCACTGGCACAAATGTAATGAATTCTATCTGGTATTAGCTCATACAGTGCTCTAGATTAAAGAAAGAGTGCGGTAGAAGAACTTCCTGTTAATATCAGCAGGGGTTGTTACCTTCATGTAATAGTGCAGAAAGCTTAACTAATACCTTCTAGTTCTTCAGGCCAACGTAAATTCCATGTGAGGATTGACACCACTGTTGCCTCATAGAGGGATTGCTGCTGCTGACTGTTTTATATCTTGGCTAAAATCGTTTGCTAACCTATTTATTTCCCCCTGTTCCTTTTTGTATTTCTTAGGTTTTCGCTTATTCTCTTCATCTGTTCCAGGAGATAGTGGGAAATCTAAACCTCCGCTCTTAGCCAGGAGGCGACGACCTTCTAGTTCTAGGTGAGATGTTAGTCTGCTACTTTGTTCCTAAAAATATTCCATGCTGTTTCAGAGATTCCTTTTACATTTGACTTTGGAAAAAGATTTTTCCTAGTGCAGGGAAACTAGGAATTTTAACTAGAGGTTGCATTCATTTTTCCAATGCACATAATGCATTTAAAGGGCAGCTTGGAGTACAGACTGGTTAAGTGGTCACTGGAATATGTTTTTGAGTCACAAATCCATTACATTTATCACGATTATGCTAATCTCAGAGTCTGTGTTTTGGGTGAATTCAGAATGAAAGTGTAACATACTTACCTCCCACTTTGCTTGCAACCCTTCCAGTGAGCTGGACAGTGACCAGGAATGGCAGAAATACCAAGAGGCTGCTGTGTCAGCAGCAGATATCTTGAAGCAAAGTGCTTTTTCTGTGATGCCTCCGGATTCCAGCCAGGCTCACAAACAGGAGTGCAAAGAGGACGACCAAAAGAAGAAAAAGAAAAGAAAGAAGAAAGCTAGAGGAGAGCATAATAGTGAACAGAAGACAGCAGGATGTTGCCAGATCAGCAACGAGACTCTGTGCTCCGTTGATGGAGAGTGTAAGAGGCAAGAAGGCAGATGTACAGAGGACACAACATTGCCCAGAGTAGTGAAGAAGAAGAAGAAGAAAAAGATTACCAGAAAAGAAGCGAATGATGATTCCGCTCTATGAACCACATATGGTCAGGATGGAAGAAGGATGGTGAAAAGTTAACAAAGGTAGTTCCTGCACGTTGTCCTCTGCTGGAAATGTGCAGAAACAATTGGCAAAGCTTCTGTTTTAAGGGAGTCAAAGGAGTAAGAGTTTAAGTGACTGTCCTTGTTGGGGGCATCCCTTGGGGAACTCCCCTTTTCCATTCCATCACAAAACAATTACTTGCATTGCTGGTTATGCAGACCTTGCACTGAAGGATTTTGTATTCTGCACAGACTTGGGCGATACAGGGACATATTGAGAGTCACCTCCGCCCTGGTCTGATCCTTCTGTGTATCAAGCCCAAATCCTGTGTCCCAGAGCTAGTATACATGTGTGATAAACTGATTTTGGTGGAGATGGTGATAGAGAATCAGTTCCTATTTCACCTCTCCCACCACCTGGTGTCAGAACCATGGGAGAAACGGCTCCAGGCTGTGAGAGACTGACTTATCCACAAATATCCTGGCAAATCTTGGGGACCCACCTACCTCTCCTATAATCACCAGAAGTACATTACCGAAACCTGCCATGTTACTAATTCCCATGGAATATACACGTCTCCGGGGGTCCTGTGCAGAACTATGAAAAGATTGTGCAATGGTGTCACTTCATCGTTATAGGCAGGTGTTTCTTTCAAAACTGACTCCCTCAGTGCTTTATTTTCACGGTATTACATCTGCCAGTGTGCAGTAGAATTCAATAACAATAAATGCCTCATAGTCTCATTTAATATAATGTCTTATGCACAACTGCCATCTTCTTCCATTAGGATGGGCACAGCTAACAGAGGTATTGCACATCATATGTGCCTTTAGTTGCACAATTGTCTGTAGCTATTTGATGATGCTGTAGAACTGCCAGAAATAGGTGTCTTTGAGCCCAGCATGGCAGTAACTGCATTTAAGTCCTTATTTCATCAACCAGGTCTATGTTGTCTCTCTGAGATGCAGCAGCAGTTTTTGGCAGCTTTCAGTACTGTTTTTATTTTCCTAATATTGGCCTGCAGCTCTGAGATTTCAGGGAAAGACCTAATATTTGGATGGGTGGAGGAACTTGAGATGCTAAAGCGAGAAAATATTGCTCCTTGTAGGGTCCTGGGAGTCACCTACATTTTGTGCAAGAACCCCAATATTTTTCACATAAGGAAATGCCCTGCAGGCATCTTAACTGCAAAAGTATTTTGAAAATCAGCCTGTGAATTAACCTAATACACCAACAGAAATCCCATGCCTTATGGCCATCATTACAATTATAAGTAATTTTAACTTCTGAAAATCATGTGACTTTTAAAACTTTTTCTGGATTCCTCATAAATTTGACTTCACTTATACAACAGTCTCAAATGGTTTTCTTTCAGTTTACTGAAAGTTAAATATATTTACAAGATAACACAGAGTGGAGAGGGGCATCAGTCCTAGAGACAAATTCCATTGAGATTTTTGGTTACTGAAATTAGGCTCTAATAGTTCATAATATCAGAGTCCAGGGAAAAAGTCTTCTGAATACTGGCACCAAATTACATCTATATGTTTTAAGTCATAAGACATGGTGGCTATAGGGACACTGTCAACTTATTTGTATGGTTTCTTTTATTCTCCATTGTTTCTTACCCTTTTAGAGGCTTGATCATATTTTTCCCTCATTGGGTTTTGTCCCCTTTACAGTGTAAATTGATAGCTTCAGCTCCATTAGAACCCCAGAAAGAAGTTTATGATGGCTTCTCCTATGTTTGTTTGCAGCTCTTCAGTGATATGAAAGTACAAGCAACAAGGAAGAAGAGGAATTACTAGAAGCATTTATAACTAGGGACTCAGGACCCAAAGTGTTCAATTTTACAAATAGATCCATGGAAATCTGAGGGGTTATTCACAGAAGTGAGGGCTGTAGCATCAGCACACAGTGAAGGGCTAAGAATTAAGGATGTGGTTACACTATATTCATACTAAAACAATCCACCTATATGGAGATCTTTACAGAGAAGGTCTGATACGTGTGAGAGAGACCAATACACACAATCCCTGTTAGAAGGGGCAATGGTGTAACATGAGGGACAGGGCTTAAAGAGCCTTGTTTCTGAACCATTATTTTCAGATGTATTCTGTTGAGCCACTTCTTTCTCCCTCCCCATCCCAAATGCTGACCACACCGGCTCCGCTGATCACCCTGTGAGGGGCGTGAGAGACCAAGAATCAAGCCTGCTGATGTGGAGAAATAAACATTCCTTTCTCCTCAGCTTGAATTTCTGAATTTAAAACAAAGTAGAACTATTGACAATACTCAGGCCTCTTCCACTAGGCCAGGGCTGTTTTAGGGTAGGTCATATTTCTGAACCTAAATAAATTGACAGCGTCCCTTTTAAGTTAAAGAAACGGCAAGTTTTTAGTTAGTGGCTCTGTAATGAGAGGATAGTTCTTATGTGATCCCTGGCTCTGTTTCTCAGGGTCTTTTTAGCTGCAAGGCCAGTATTTGGGCTCTTGTACTGTCTGCCCCTAGAAAAGTTTCTCTCTCATTCAGTTTCCATCAGTCTGTTTGCAGCAGTGGTGGGTGTTTAAGCGGTGCTCCCCTGCCGTTAGCTGCTCAGCTCTACTGACTTGCTGTGGAATTGGCAGGTTTACATATATGCAGCCCAGCTAAGGTTAAGAAGAATGAAAATTCCAGCTATCCCTTTGCAATTTTGCCATAGACCATTCAGACCCTTATCCTGGTGGAAGTCCTCAATTTCTGGTCTCTATGCTGGCCACTGTTCCCTTTGGCAGTGGAAGCTAGTGGTGTCAGCCCTGTCCTCCTCTGTCATCCGCTCTGGATGTGTGCTCATAGCTTTGTTCTCAAGAAAAACCCCCTCCTGTGTTGTGTTTGGATGAGGGTGAGGACTTTACGCAAGGCAGTGGAGAGGGGCTGGAGGCCTCCGGACCTCCCTGTGGAAGGCAGCAGTGACAGTGAATCACAAACACAGATGGAGGTGCTCCTGATGGCTCAGTCATTGCAGTCGCCTGTGAACTGGTCACCATGGTTACTGAGTGGAGGATGCCATCTGTGTGGGGATGAAGGTCTCAATAACGCTGTGAGTAGATGGCAGCAAGTGGCTGTGGCTGTTGGTGGAGTCAGAGCTGTGGTAGAGCACCAGGCTGCTAGAGGAGACTGTTAAAAACATGCAGTTTTAGCATGGTAGTTTCCTTCATCTGTTCCTTCTCTAATTCCCCTCTCCCTTCCCTCTTTCTACATGGCATCTCAGGATTCTTCATCTCAGACACTACGGTCTGATATCTTCCTGTCATCACTGAAGAGTTAGGGCTTGTCTACACAAACACTGAGTTTACAGCAAACTGGGGTGTAAATCTACCCCACACCAGCTTGCCACACACTAAGTGTCTGTGTGGACCCTGCTGCAGTGTACTAAAAGTTCCATAGTGCACCTTGATCTATGCCTCTTTGAAACAGGCGTAGATTAAAGCACACTGTGGAACTTCCAGTGTGCAGCAACAGGGTGCATAGCAGGGTAGATTTACGCTCCAGTTTGGTGCACACTCGGTGGTTTTATAGACAAGCCCTCACTCCTTTATCCCATTCCTATTTCATATGCAAAAACTTGCGTGCCGAGATCCAAAGCTGTTCTCAAAGTATCATGGGGATCAACCCATGTGGAATTAAAATGACTTGCTAATGTCCTCTCAGAGTTGGTAGGCTTTACCCTATATCCTATCCCCGAAGGAATCTCTGCCTCCCCAGCCCTGAATGCCTTCTGCAGGTTTGACTGTGTAGGGACACTATTCCTGCCTGTGTTCTTCAATAGGCCCCATATCCACACCCAGACCTCACTTTGGATATGCTGAAAAGTCCCTGCTATGGACTGTGCTTTAGACCATCCTTTCATGATGTCATTTTCTGTATCCCCCAGGACCTGGTTGGAGTTGTGTCGCAGAATAGGAAGTCCTGGATGCTATTTCATGTCCTACCATTGGGGTATTGGTGGATGGAGGGACAGTATAAAATGATAGTTTATTGATCTTACCAGCTGGGCTTGGGGTGAGGCGATGGCCTGGCTGAAGGTGCTGAATGGTTGTGTCTTGGTTCTGTAAATGTATTGTTGGTGTCTGTGACACTGACGTGTGGATCCCGGACTCCGTATGGGTCTCTGATTCAGATGTAAACACCTGAGAAAATTAATGTTTCCTAAGCTTTGGAACAGTGCCTGGGTCAGATCTGTCTCCTATGAGCCTTCCAATAGGCACTTACATGGGCAAGCTGGATTGGAAACAGCAAGCGGGTCCTGTTTCCAAGGAGACTCATTGCTGCTTGGCAATGCAGAAAGGAAGCTTGGGTTAATGTTCCCAGTGTTCCAGCTGGTATTGGGGTGAGGAAGATTGTCCTGCTGGAGTGGCACGGACAGGGGGCCAGATATGCTGTACTGGCATAGGCAATATGCTACGTGATACACAGTGCAGTTTTAAGTAGGGGAATGAAGGCATATGATAAACACTATTCCCTGCTTTGTTACCTGTTTGGTTGGTGTCAGGTTAGTCAGGGCACTGAGATTTGCTGTATCAGTTATCACCATGGTCTGGGGTAAAAGGCCAGTGTGTCCATATTGGGCCACTTCAGACTTGTGGCTGTAGAGAGCTAGAAATGAAAGAAAACAAGATTGTGTGGATGCTGGAGCTCTGAGAGTTGTAACCAGGAACAGTTAAATGGGAGATCAACTTAGCCAAAGTGACACCAACATGAATCTGCTGTCAGTCAGTCCTGAATCTCAGACACAACCAGTGGGACATGGATCCAGGAGAGGAATCACCTACCCTCTTCTGTTGTTCTTCTGATAATAAACAGAGTGCTGCAAGCCCAGAGGCCATCAATAACCTCCCAAGCAAAAGGGACTGTGGAGTTTGGGAAATCCAGTTTGAACCCTTACCATGGGGGCTCTGTATCTGGGCCATGGTGGCCATGAAGGGGCTCTGATTGATGTGGCTCTGGACCTGCTGCATGATGGGCTGCTGGTAAGATGGGTGGAGCTGCTGGGAGAACTGGACAGGCTGAAGGGTAGTAAGGCTGCTTCCCATGCTGTTTATCACAGGAACACTCTGAGCTTGGGTGGAGGCTAGGCCTGAGAAATAAAGACATGCATATTCAGTTCCTTGTTTCATCTCATCTCATACTGGGAGTGCATGACTGTTCCTTCTGCTAAAGTGAGGTCTGCAGAAATTCTGGAGTGTTCTCCGTAGCTGTGCCTAATCTACAATAGTAGTATGAGCTAGGACTCTTTGGGGCAAGGGGAGCTGCTTTACAGCTGTGCCTTGTCGAGTTGTGAATGAACTTAGTGTCTCAGAAAGTCAAGGTCTATCAACAGTAGTCTGAGCAACCTATCGTGCAGAAAAGCCCCTTGCAAGCAGCTCTTACCACCACTGCTTGTGCCTGAGCTGAGGCATCCTGTTCAGCCACAGATCACGCAATGCAGTTCTGTTCAAATCTGCTGTTATCCTTCACTGGAGAGACCTTCTTTAAAAGTGAGAGTGAAGTTTAATGGCCCAGTCATTATTTTAACCTCACCTCAGACTGCTGGCAAAAGAGGCAAGTGTGCTATGTGTAACTAACCACAACAATCTGAATTTAGACTCATGGGGTTCATTTTGTTTAGGCTGCCAAACAGCTGGATTTGAACCAATGACATGGAGACAAAAGGTTTTATATCCCTTTACTCAAGTTCCTTAGCCATCCGTTCCCCACTTGTGACATTTAAACTGGTAAACTCTACAGGAGCAGAACATTTTCCTATCATGTGGACTGGTGCAAAGTACTAATGCTTCCGAGGAGCTCCTGACAATCCCCATATTTGTGATTGACTCCCCCACCCATATATTTTTCCTTGCAGCCTCAAAGCTTTTGACTCAGGAAATGAGCAACAATTATGATTGTAGATCCTTTTTTTCCTTTCTGGGTAAATCCTGATAAACGGAGCGTGGGATAGAAACCACAATGAGCCCTCCACCGTCCCCACATTGTTCACTGCTCACCTATTACCAGGGTGGAGGCCCCTGTGTTGGTGAATGCTGGTGCCAGGGATGAGGTCTCACCAGCTCCAATTGCCATAACACCAGGCAGTGAAGCCATGATTAGATTCTGGGTTTGCTGGCTCAATGTGTGTGGATTTTGCTCTAGGCTGTGCAAAGCGGTCAGGGTGCTGACAGGAGGGAGAGGTCCCCCGTGAGCAGAGATCTGTGCATGAGGAAGAAAGAAGAGCTGTGAAAATGCCATCCACAACAGCTGGAGTATGGTGAGCACTTTAAAGTTCCAATCTGTGATCAGTTTCCCACCCAGCTGCTGACCGTTTGGAAGGGACTTCATTTAGCTGAGTACAGTTTGTATGCTTCCTTTGATGCTGCTTCCATGCTGATTAATTAACCATTAAAGAACACTGTCACGGTATGAACAGTAGCACTTTTCCCTGGTCAGTCTACTCCCATCTGAGAATCTCAAAGTGCATTAGAAATATTTGTGAATTCAGCCTCTGTTCCCATAGAGTGAAGTATTCTCCTCAGTTTACGTTAGGAAGGAGAAAATCAGGTACAGAAGTCGATCCATTTACCCTATTGCTGCTTAATCATATTTAAAAATTCCATGCAAATTTTTATGTAAAAAAGTTTCAATGTTTTTAATATGTTAAAAAAAAATGTTCAGCTTTAGCAGCCTAATACTTATACTTGTTTAGCACTTTGCAACTAGGGACCTCAGAAGGCTGTACAAACTTTAACGCTCACAACCCTGTTAGAAGGTAGATATGAAGTTCATTTTAGAGTTCGAGAAGTGAGGCACAGAGAGGCTAAGTGACTTAAGGAACTCATGAGTCCTTCATTTCTTAGGGTTTCTCTACAGTCTATGTTAGTACGCACCAGAAGGGTGTAAATTCTAGTGTGCATTATTGCAGGGTTGCTTGTTACAGATAGAGGGAACATATCTGGCTAGTGGGTAGAGCAGGACTTTAAGTCCTAGACTTGGTTCTGTCACTGACTGAATTTGTGACCTTTGTCAAGTCATTTAACCTGTCTGTGTCTCAGCTTTCAAACTCTCAGATTAACTTCATAATTCATATCTACCTTCTAGTGAGGTTGAGGGTTGTAGTCCGTAAACCGGGGTGGGCAAACTTTTTGGCCCAAGGGCCACATCTGGGTACGGAAATTGTATGGCGGGCCATGAATGCTCACAAAATTGAGGGGTGGGATGCAGGAGGGGGTGAGGGCTCCGGCTGGGGGTGCAGGTCTGGGGTGGGGCTGGGGATGAGGGTTGGGGGTGCAGGAGAGTGCTCCAGGCTGGGACCGAGGGGTTCGGAGGGTGGGAGGGGGATCAGGGCTGAGGCAGAGGGTTGGGGTGTGGGAGGGGGTCGGGGTGCAGGATCTGGGTGGCGCTTACTGCAAGCAGCTCCCAGAAGCAGCGACATGTCCCCCCTCTGGCTCTATGTGGAGGCACGGCCAGGGGGCTCTGCGCACTGCCCTGTCTGCAGGCGCCATCCCTGCAGCTCCCATTGGCCAGGAACCCATGGGTGGGGTGGTGCTTGGGGCAGGGGCAGCACGTGGAGCCCCTTGGCTGCCCCTACACGTAGGAGCTGGAAGGGGGACATGCTGCTTCTTCTGGGAGCCATGGCACACCCGGAGCAGGGCAAGCTTGCGACCCTCCTCCCTGGTGGGAGCTCAAGGGCCAGATTAAAACGTCTGAAGGGCTGGATGTGGCCTCCAGGCCGTAGTTTGTCCACCCCTGCCGTAAGCCATGTGAGGTCCCTAGTTAAAATGTCCTATAAAAGTATCACAAGTGTTAAGCTGCCAGAGCTGAACGCTTAATATATATAGTTAAATAAATTGGAACTACTTAAACATAAACATTTGCATTGAATTTGTAACAAGATTAAGGAGCAATAGGGTAAATGGTTGGACTAACCATCTTGACAGTGTCCCTTTTTGTATACAGCAGTAAAAGGAGATTTTCAAAGTCTTGTGGAAAGACTTCCATCACAATAGTGACCAGAAAATCAGCAAGGTGACTGGGTAACTGTAAAGATTTTAATTGGATTCATGAATTGAACTTTGCCCCAGGACAGCTGTGGAGCAATACAAACTTCTTGCTAACAGGTTTTCTACGTAGCATACAATCCAAGCGAAGTGTGCAAACCAGGCAAGAATGATCAATCATATAATCTTAGCATAGCGATACAAACCACATGGGAGGAGGCTTAGTTAATGAAAGATATCCAAAGGAGATCTGCCTCAAGATGAATATGATTAGGCTGGTCCAATCCAGATTTACTGTACAAGACCTATTGGTAGGAATTCTATGCAAGATGGGTCTGTTGCACCTAACTTTTACAAATGGGTCAGGGCAGGTAACAGTCCCTGTTTTGTTAATCCCACTGGATTCTTTTCAGCTATCTTGCTGAGTGTGGAGTTCAATCAGAAGTGAGAGGTAATTGATCAGTGGGAGAGGAACAGACCTTTTGGGATGGGGAGGTTAAAGACAGGTGTGTCATTAGATGTCTTGGGCCCTGTTTTCCTACTGAAAGGTGTACCATACTGTTTTGATTAATCCCAGGGCAGTAACTGGATAGGGTAGTCCTACTTAGTCTTCATGCTCCCAGTACCCACCCCCACCACTAGGTGGCATGGTGTGAGAATCCTAAGAATGCTTTTGGACTTGGTACTGCTGTGGGGAGTTAACAGCAGTCTGGAAAATATCATTTTTAAATATTGTCCTCTGCAAACCTGGGGTTCTTCTTTGATTCCCTGACATCATGGAGTCACCAGGACTAGAGTATAGGTCACTCACCAGCTTAGTGTCTGTGGTCAATAGGTTCTGGCTTGGCTCCAGTCCAGGGGGAGAGACCTGATGGAGGATGGTTTGGGTGGTCACCATGGAGCTGTTCCCATGATGATTGCTGCTGGAAGACTCGGCCTCATTGGCTGGCTGCTGATTGTACCTCATTCCTATGTCAGAAAAGGAGAGACTTGGTTCCCACAGATGAGGCTGATCTAGTAAATTAGGACAAGCAATAAATTCAATTCCCTTTCTAGGCATTTGCCTTAGAAATGCCAGGTGCACTGAGGCAGCCCTCCTTCCTTTGGAGCTGAGGGGCTGTGTGGACTGAGCACGATACTTGGAAACCAAGAACATGCCAAAGTTTTAATCCTCCCAGTAGCTTGCTGGGTGGCCTTGGACAAGTAATCTCCTAATGTGCCGGCTTTGTGCAGGGCTGAGTATCCTTGTGGGAAAGAAGCTGTATAGCTAAGTTGGGTAGAAATTCTTCCTGGGAGTAAATATAGAAGGGAAGGGAGTCTGGGTGATAGCATCTACCCCAAAGTGAGAGGGAAACTCAGTCTTCCAGGTTCACTCAATCCTGGGCTTTCCTGGCCTCATCAATAGACCCAAATCCTTCCTTGGAGAGACCACCACCCATCAAAGGGAGAGGGGAATTCTTTCTTCTAGACTTTTAAGTGGTAGGCCCTCTCTACTCTATTGTGTCAAGGGAGATTGCTAGCAACCTCTTACTCTGAGAGGGATGATGGAATTTCCACCATTAAATTCCTGCTCTAGTATTGAGGACAGGTTAGGTAGCAGCATTATTCCCTTCCCTGCATAGAAGGGGAGTTTGCACTTGTGCTCTAGTTGCAGTGTCTCTTGCAGACCAGGAGATCGGTGATGATTGGTGCTACTTCACTAACACACTGACATCTCAAGGACTTTTGCCTAGAAACACTAGAAAGGACAAAGCCCTTGAGCATTACATAATAGAAAAGTGAGCTTGCTGAACACAGGTATTTGTTGCTTGTTCATCTGGCTACCACAGAGAAAGGAGGCAGAGATGCCACTCTTCTGCTTTCAGTGATTATGAAAACTGCCAGTCTGTTTTGGCTTGCTGAGGACGCAGAGGGTAACTTTTCGTAACTTCTAACAATTCAGCCAAGAATGTTTGTGTCCCAAACTTACGGCAGTTGGAGGCTCCCAAAGAGGGAGGCATGCATGTGAGAAGAAAGGGTATACAATTAACCTCTGATACAACCTAACAGGTGAGCTCTTGAAATAGGGATTACTGACTGCTGTTCATCACAGGGGGCTGTGACCAAGCAATGAATGAGAACTGACTATAAGGCACTCCCTCAGCATTAAGCTTCCAATGTCCTCTTCACTCCACTTGTCACTCTTCTCCCCTCATCTTGTGAATGCAGAGATATCCCTTTATCACCTACACTCTCATCTTGTGTAAACCCCACATCAGTTTGGCTCTCTCATCTACTGAGCAGCTTCTGAAGGGACAGGCTTCGAAATGGCCTTGGTGCCTGAACTTGCAGGCTCACCAGTCTCCAGTTCCAGAACTCGCTCTTTGTAGTCAGTACTCACCATGTACTTTGCTTGGCGAGATAGCAGGCGTTGGCTGAAGGGAGGAAGAGTTGTGAGAGGTCAGTGGGGGAGCAGAGCTGGGCTGCGGCCCACTGTAGGTATCCATGGCTAGCTTGTGCCGAAAGGCCTCCTCCTTCCTACGGTTGGCGAACCAGTTATAAACTCTCACCTCGGTGACCAGGTTTGAGCCCAGACCTTGGGCCTGGGATGGGGAGACGCCACGCTGAATGCACTCTGCCCTGTCAGGAAAGAGCATAGGAAGGACCTTGGTGATCTCCTGCGTTAGGAAATACTTTATTTCTGTTTGGTGAGCTGGAGCACTGTCGAATGATTGATAGCACGGGGTTGACTCCCTAATCAGCCAATACATGCTGGGGTGCCTCCTGTGACTAGGCAGGGTCTCTATAACACCAGGCCCTTGATGATGCACTCATGGAGTGGGGGCAGGGGCATGCTCTATATGAGTGTGTGGTGTGTTCATGACTTTGGTGTCTGTATGCATGCTGTCATGCCTGGTCACCTGTAAGCAGAGGCTCAGGGCAGGATGAGCAGGCTGTTCTTTACAGTAGGTAGAGAGCCAGGTTGTTGGAGCCCAGGACGGGAATAACAGGCAGTGAGAGCTCAGTGCTGGAAGCTTGTTCTAAAGCTGGCTCTAGACAATCATTCTCTTGCTCTGTCTGTGTATTGGGATTTCACTACACAGTGTTTTGCAAATTGTATCCCAAAGAAAGAACAAGAGGAGATCTCAATCCACTGCTACCACATTGCCCTGACACAGAGTAGAGTATGGCTTCTGGCAGTATAGCAAGAGGACACAAAGGCCCATTCCAACCCTCTCTTTTCCCCTCCTCCATCAACACTGGATGCCCTCCTTCACCTGTTGCACTCCTCCACCAATGCCTCTCTCTCCTCCTTGCTCGGGTTCTTCTGTCTCTCGTAAGCTTGGAATAGGATCTGTTGTGAGGCAGGACCCCACTTAAAGCGGTTTCTTCTCCCTTTCTTGGTGGGCAGGTCGTCTCCCATGGGCTCCTCTGCCACGAGTCCCTGACCAGCATGTGTGAACTCTGGAAACACAAATGGGCAAGGGGCTTTGCTTGCTGATAGGATGTTTCTATAATGTTCTCTTGCTTGGAATTCAACTGGCTCAGAGCAGCTTATCCCCACTCATCGTCTCCTACTATTGAACAAATGCAGGTGCAAAATCTAGATGAGATTTAAATAAAGCTCTATATTTGTCTAAAATGGGTAAGATCGTCCCCAATGGGACCATCAGACATGTTGCATCTTGATTCCTAGTGTGAAGCAGTGAAACGGAACAAGCAGCAGGAGCTGGGGTGGATGCAGCTCATGTAGAGTCCAACGCTCTAGGCCAACCAAAGGCCAAGTTATTAATTTTACTAGGGGCCCATCTAATACGTATAAAATTAAACAGATTACAGTCACATTCGTTCATATGGAGGTGGAGGCTGCAAAGGCTATCCTTTTTAAGCATGTATTTGTAACATGCTGGCTTAGTATGTGTGAGATGATATCCCACTAATGGCTGACCCCAGAGCTACAGCTACTTATTCATGGCTAAAGGAATTACTTCTTTAGATGAAATTGCAGAAAACTCTTTTCTGGTGCTGAAGGTCCTGGGTTCTATCACTGCTGGTGATCAGCTATGCTGTCTGAGCTTACATAAATGCACTTCATTGGGCAGTACTCTATCTTAGTCCAAATCGATGCCTCCACTTGGATATACCGATAGATGGGAGCTATAGCCTGCTCTCCTTTGTGCAGTTTGGCCACCCCTATTGAATGGTGACATGGACTTGTTTAACCTTATTGCTAGAAAGGGCCCCCCCTCCCCTGCCTTCCACACTGCAGATGAGGGTAGGGGGAACTATAGGACACCAGCAGATTTGCTGTTGCTGTACTTACGCTGGGCCACCTCTCGCTGCTTGCGGACGTACCAGGTGTAGAGGGCAGCTCTCTTCTGGGTTTTCATGGGTGTGCCTTTGTTGAGGTGCTGTGAGAGGTGAGACTGATTTAAACCTGTAGTGTCCACCACCTCCCTTTGAGGGATGTTGTGCTGCTGGAGGTAGGATTTTACCATCTTTGCTACTCTCCAGGGATCCTCTCTAGAAGGAACAGAAAATGCACCTCATTAAAGATAGAATTCTTCTCTGGGTATCCAGGTTGTACAGAAGGGATTCAAGGAATGTCAGCCAGCACTTCTTGCATGAAGCAATGAGAGAGGTGAATCCTCTGTTCACGCTTTGCCTTTGATGAGGCAGGTAGGATAGATTTAGTATGCTGTATAATAGCCGTTCATCTCTCCAAGGAAATCTCCTCTTCAGTGTGACAGTCTATGCAGTGGTTTGACCCAACCTCCAAGCTAAATGACTTACTCATTAAAAGATTTAGGCAAGTATTTTTGATAGCCCTGGAGACTGAACTCCTTGGAGTAGCAGTGATGACAATTTCCTCTATGCCATGCTTCCTATGTAGTTCAGTTCTGACCAAGAGCCTGTCACTGGTGGAGCAGATGATGTCCCAGGGTTCCATTTCTCACAATGCTGTATGTTCTGGGCTCTGCTTTTCAGTTTCAGGAGGTGGGTCTCTTTTACCCTGCTTCCCTGTCTGTGGGGAATGTGTGCTCACAGATAATGCAGTGTACTTTCCTGAACTGGGTTCACTTTAATATCAGACCGACTCATCCTCACTTGCACTCTGGTTCTGATCCAGCTTGGGGTAACCCACAGTGGAGCAGCCAAGAGACAGAGGAGCTCCAAACCCAAAATAACTGGAAATGATTCAAGAACTGAAGAGGAAACCCTCCTCCTCTACAATATATACTTGTGCACGTGAGACTCCTGTACCCAGACACCAACCATATACACCACCCACATGTCCTTGCACATATGGCACTTTGCATGTACACATAAAGATAACCATACATCTGCTCTTTCAAATTTTCCATTTTGCATCTACATACTTAGAGAAAAAAATGAACACCTATTTACAATTCCAGCCACTCCATTGTACAAGCTAAGAAGAGTAGAATTGTGCATGAATAAAACCCCAAAATTGTAAATCTGATAGGGTTTATCAGAATGTCTGTTAAGGTTCCCAAACATTTGAGTAACCATGGGGCTGACTAAGGCGATCATGATTGAATTTTGGTGAGTGGTTTCGGTTTGACTGAACCTGAAGCTCAGTAAAACTTGAAAGATCTGAACCAAGCAGTTGAGAACCAAACAAAACTCTTGCATGAACAACCCCCGTGTTGAGAAATGTCTTATTTCTTTGCAGCTGTAACATGGAGCCTCCCTCTGTGTTTCTAATGTGAAATGCCTGAGGGACTGACTGGACTGGACGTGATCCCAACATGGTATAGATGATAATGTTGATGTCCTCTCCAAATACAAGTAGCAGCTGGGTGGAATGAGAGAAAAATACCCAGGACTATGGGGAAAATACAGCAGGACAGTTGGGGGTGGAGGGAGAGAGAGCAGCCTGAGCACGAGCTGCTTTGTTGACTCTGGGTTGTCAGCAGCTGAAAAGCGATAAGGAGGACAAAGTCCACACCTGTTCTCTCAGCGCAAACACCCTTATCTCTGTTCCTGCTGCAGCCTCTTCCACAGCAACCAGACGGTCCAAGGAGCAAGCTCAACTGCAGTTAAAGTGTGGCAGGAGGCTGAGACAGGGCCAGTTTTCTGGAGAAATCTCTTTTCTTAAAATGGCACCACAGGTTCCTCTCTGATGGTGGAACTGTGCCAAAATGCTCCATTTTCCACCTCTCCCCTTGTACTCTTCAAAGACCCCAAATTAGGGCAGCCCAACTGGCCTATTTTTTCCCATTCCTGAGCTTTAAGCATTTGGTGTTTGCTCTACTACCTCTTGAGACAAGGACTAATCTCCTCCCTATTGTGGTCTCTCTTTACACAGCCTCTATGAATCTAGCCTGCAGCTGAGCCTTGGGCACTTTCCTTCTTTAAAGAGGTACCCAACAGTCCCAAGCTGGCCCAGGATTCTGTTGTACAGTGATAGATTAGATGCTCAAGGGCAAGGCTTCTGACCTGTCTTTCAGATCATGTTTCTGGGTCAGCTAGCGAAGAAAGGGAGGGGGATTCATGATCCCCCATAGAAGCTTCTGTAACATACTAACTTCCTTCCCACTTGGCATCTGAGCCACTTACTTACGTCTCTCTTGTCAGAATCCCCAGCTCTCTGTCAGGAAGGAGTGGGGAGGTACTTGGGAGAGGATGAGACTCACACTCTTTCATAATTTAGAACACTATGGGGTGCCAAGGTAGACACACATTCCCAAGGTGTGTCAACAATTCAAGTGCATCTGCACTTGGGAGCTGTTTACAGCATGGATGTCCCCTAACATGGGTAAAGGGTGGTTTCATGGTGTAGCATAGATGAAGCCTTAACTGTGTCCACATGCACTGTCAAAGCCAACGCTTTAATTCCTGTGTAAAGAAACCTCATGATCCTAGGTTATACTGTAGAGTAGGCTGTTTTTTTTTCTTTTTCTTTCCATTTTTAGCATTTATTTGAAGTTCTCTCCCCTCCCTCCCCCATTGTCCTAAGGTAAGGTTCAGTTATGCCACAAACCGCTATTAAGGCAACTTGTGTCTCTGGAGCAAACATTTTAAAAAGATAGATATAGAAGTTTCAGGTGGTTTAATTTGGAGTAACTGTCCCTGAAGAAATAGGAGGAAGAAATCATTCCCACACTGGAGAAAACTCAGAATCCTACAAGATTTCAATGTGACTCGGGGAAAAAAATCACGGAAGGTTTATTTTCTTGCAAATTTCTGGCATTATTTTGGAAGCTTCTCTTAGTCACTCAGTGTAATCAGGCTGTTGCTAGGTCTGTTGAACACTCTCACGGACTGTCACTTATCCTCATAGTGCCTTCCCCATAGACACAAACACCAGGGGTGAAATCCTTTCTCCACTGAAGTCAATGGCAAAACTCTCTTTGCCTTCAGTAGGAGTAGGATTTCACTCCAGGCCCAATCTTGCTAGTCTTACTTGGGCAAAGTGCCCAATGAATTTAGTGAGTCAGGAGGGCAAAAGGATCCAAGCCTTGTTCAACATCTGACCACTTCCTGCCTCATTTTGGCTTCAGCTTCCCTTTCTTCCCAAATACAAACTCTACCTCCATTGCTTTACCATTCTTCAGGGTCTATCTCCAGATTTTCCTTATCCTCAGATAAGACTTTCACGTTTTCCTTCCCATCTTCTAGGTCCTGGTCTCTTGCCTTCAGCTTCTCCTTGTCCCCTGAGCATAGGCTCTCTCCCTGGCCCTATACAACCTCTGGGGTATGGGGTCCTATCTCTTCCATTCCAGCTGCTCCTTTCCTCAGTTGTGAGGTTGCTTTTTGAGGGCGTTTTCACCTCCCTTTTGTTACTTGAACAATAAGTAACCCAGGTAGTTAGTTATAAACTCAAAGGGAACAAGAGGCTAGTTGATAATTTATAGCAACATCTCAAATTTAAATGGAAAGTAAATATCAAGTTGTTCGCATTAAAGAAAACCCAATGCAGAGAGCTGGGGATATAACATTCAGGAGACCTTCTTTCTCCTTCACTCTCCCTGATTTTTCTTCCCAAACTGTCTTTTTCCTTTTTTGGTCCTCATTCTGTCTTTCTGTCCACCCTGTTTACTTTATTCTCCACCACCTCTCAGGGCAGCAATGTCTGATCCTTTTCAGATTCCCTTGTGCAAAAGATCTGATTTGATCTCTTGGAGGCAAGTTCTGAATTCCTCCAGCTTTGAACTGGAAACAAGTTCAAAGGAGATCCAGAGCTTTGAAGTGCTCAGGATCATTGCTCCAGTCCTTTCCATTGAAGACTGCCAGACATCTTTCGCGGGTTTCAATGCACAGACTGGACCTGAGATAGGCAGAGAGCAGGGAAGGTAAGAGGAGCCCTAGCATGATTGTTTTCTGTTTGAACTTTGCTTGGTTTGCCTTAGCTTGGCCTATACAATCATATGCTGACATAAAAGGGGTGTTATAGCTTCATCTCAGGGCCCCTCAGCAACCAGCTCCCTGGGGGAAAGGGCTAGGCCTTTTACCTCTACATCTCCCTTTTTCCTCTTCAGAAAATATGCCCAGAAAATCTTATCTCAACCTCCCTCTTTCCTTGTGGAATTCTACCCTTTGCCCTAGAGGGAAAAATTGCTATACCTCCCCACAGGTAAAAGCCCTTATCCTGACTCCTCATTATACATTGGCCGCATACCCCTCACCAATTGAAGTCTGCTCCTTCCCCTGTCCCCCACCAAAGACAATCTGTATTCTATCTTCTCCATAGGGAATAGCTAATAATTACTCCATTGCCTCCCCCCACAAATGAATTAATTTACTATTGACTTGATACTCCTCCTCCATCCAGTTCTGTCCTTTTGTGGAGTGAATTGAGGCATTTTCAAAAACACTTACGTTATTTAGGATTGTGGGTCCCATGGAAGAGCAATGAGACTTGTACTTCTGAATCACTGAGGTACTCTTTCTGTGGCTCACGAAAGCTCATGCTCAAATAAATTGGTTAGTCTCTAAGATGCCACAAGTACTCCTTTTCTTTTTGAGGTACTCTTGAAAATCCCATCCCTTATCTCTCTTCTGGGATTCAGTGTAGTGGGTGAATGGCTGGCCCACTAGCTCCTCACTAAGGAAACCTCCCTATGTATTGCATTCAGTGTATTCTGTAGGGACAACGGGTAATGGACTCCAGCAAGTGAACTTAGAGCTATGTAGGGGGGCAAGTGCCTCCATACTGGATTTACTCAGTGTAATACAGTGGTTCACAAACTGCTCTGTAGGATCACTATTGTTTCACAGAGCACATACTAATGGTCTGCAGAAAAGTGACTGGTCACATTGTGCTTTTTCTCCTTGTTCCCAGGCAGTACAACAAAAGCACAGAAATACATTAAACCTTTTCCTGTGTTACTTTCCCATGTAAGCAAGTAAGTTATTGTGACCATGAACAGGAGGTGAGGTGTCCATGAGAGAATCTTTTGATTGAGATGTGATCTACAATAGTCTGAAAACTGCTGGTAACACACAAGGAGGTTTTGTCACTTTCATAGTGCCTCAGTTCACCCTGTGTATTTGAATACCACAAAATTGTGCACTCGGGTTTTTGAGCAACCTTGAATTTGCAAGCAGAGAAGCTCTGTTCTGCATGCTGTTGTGCTTGGTGAGTGAGGCTACTCTCCTTTCTTGTGCCCCAGCTGGTGGGAAGTGATTTCTATCATACACCATTTTTGTACTATGTATAATATGTCTTGACTTCTTACCACACCTCCAATCCTGTTCCTTTGTTGAGTGAATTGAGGCATTTTCAAAAACACCTACATTATTTAAGATTTATATATAATATAAATTATTATTATTATTCTAAGGACCTGGCCCATCAGGCCTTCTTCTAGTAAAAGAAGGTTTCTTTCCTGAAGGGGCTTCTTAGTTGTTAGCTATTGCTTGCCTTATGGTTAAGACACAGAACCAGGTTCCAGAAGATCCTGGTTCTATTTCCAGCCCTTCCACCAACTTCCCATGTAACCCTGGGTAAGGCACTTAACCTCTCCGTGCCTTAGTTTCCTCATCTGTAAATTAGAATGATGTCTCATTCACAGTTTGTAAAGAGCTTTGAGATCCTCCATTAGAAAATGCTGAAGAAGTGCACAGCATTACTGTAAAAATGTGGTATAGAAATTAGTTTAGTGCTGAAACTGACAGGAACCACAGGGCAACTGGAAAGATGGGAAAGATCAGAAACCAGAGTTTATGCCAAGGTGAAGGGAGATGTGGAGGTGAAGGACCACACTGGATCCCCAACTCCTGGATAGGAATTCCCTCCAGTTGTGAAATTCTTTTTACCAGAGCAGAGTGGATAGAGTTTAATTCCTGCTTCATCCATTCATTAAAGAGGAGATAGAGCCAGGTGCTCTTTAGCTTCCATGGCTTTCTCTATGGAGAGACACCTGATAAATCATCAGAAGTTAATGATCAAAAAGCTTATCAGGGTCTTTTTGTTTATAAATTTATAAGACAAAAGAGAAATAATAAAGCCACTGGATAATTAGTAACTAGCCAGGGCCCGCCCGGTGCAACTGGAGCTCAAACTGCCCCAAGATCTCTACACAGGCTTAGGGAGAAGAGAGAGAGAGAGAAGGAGATGGATAAGAGCAATGTGAAAGAGAGACAGACAGACACTCACAGACAGGTAGACCTAGAAATAGGGTGATGAGAGACAGAGAGAAGTGTGTGTGTGGGGGGAATAGGAAAGGAGAATCTGAGGAAAACAGACATAGAACAGGGGAGTTGGAAACAGCAAGGATATAAGAAAGAGGGAGGGGGACAAAATGAAAAGGGAGAGAAGGAAAGGGGTTTATTGGATGGAAAAGAAGACTGAATTATGGGGAACATCTTTCCTCTCAGGTAAGTGTTGTTCTAGTGTATTTTATTCCTTTAGCTACTGTAATGTGATCAGCTCCAAATCTGCCCAGACTCTCTCTAGAGGTCAGGCAATAGAACCATCCCCTCTGAAATATTACAGTGAATATTAACCCTTTAAGTACTGTGCTATCTCTCTACCTTGGGGCTATTGCTGGGGTTTTGTGCATACTTTTTTTTATTATGTTTTGTATTAATATATCCTTTCCCCATTAAAAAGGAATGGCCGCAAAGCCGGTAAATCCTCTAACTGGAGTTTAATTTTCCCAAAAAAGATTGTGAGTAGCAGTTTGAGTCTCCAGAACATTGCAGTCACCCTGTGCCTCCTGTCTGCTCCTAATCTTGGAGAGTAGCTTCAGCACAGACAGATGAGATTTTGTGGCTAAGGATTTAATTGTGTTAGATGGATTTGAAGGGCGATACCCTGAAGTCCTTGCTCAGGCAGACCAGCCATTGGAATCCCTAGAATTCATGTTGCTGAGTTAGAATTGCAGGAGCACAATTCTGTTTCTGTCTATGTGCTTACTGGAGTGAAATGAGAGTGATTGGTTCAGGAAGCTCATATTTTTTTTGCTATTAAGAATAAATAATTGCATGTTAAGGTAAGTCATACAACATTAGTCTGTAGAATGCACACTCGTCTATATTCAGTGTTCATGATGGGAGATGGAGGATAGAAGCATTGGGTATGTTGACCTGGATTGCCAACCAATTTGGCCTGCAGTCCTTCATCTGAAATTCCCACTAAAAACAACGGGAGTCTTATGTGCACAAAGACATGAAGATCAGGCTTTCTTAATTTGTCTCTACTGACAAATACTTGACTTTACCTAAAGTCAGTAAAATAAAAATATACGTCTCAGTAAAAATGGCAAGAGAACTTAGGAGTATTTTCTCCTCCTATGGTGAGAATTCCCACACTACATGATGAAAGCTAATATGATGGCTTCTTTTCTTATTTTTTTCTAATAACTAAAACGGTGGCTTCTGTAAAAACTGACAGACGGCTAAAGTGACAGAAGTTGTACAACTCCCAGATTTTTCTGAAGTCCTTGTTTCCCAGATGATATTATCACTTTTAATATGTAATTGGGCCCCATGGCGCTTTGTGTGTGCGTATGTTTGAAATGTCATTGGAAGGAAACTGAACATTATTAAGGAACATGAACCTTGTCAGTGCAGTGAATTTTGGGTTTTGGGGGCTGGCATTGATGGGCAGAATCTGCACGCTTAGATCAACTGTGAACCCAAAGGTATTTCACGGAAGAGATGAAGGAAAGAGAAATAAAGGAACGGAGAGCAAGAAGGGGAAAGGAAAACAATGTCCTTACTGTAATAGTCTCTCCACCACAGCCTTCTGGTGAGCAGCCTCCTCTGGACTCAGGTTTTCCAGCTCCTTCATTATTGGAGGGGTGAATTCCTCCCCATCGTCGGAGGTTTCCTCCTCGGACATCCTGGATTCTTCCATCCCATTGGGCAGATTGGGAATTTCAGCACAGGGTTCCCCTTTTTCTGCCTGGATGGCACTGATGGCACGCTGGCTTTCACTCTGGAGGGCATAGGGGTCCACTTCCCCGAGCGCTTTGATCAGGGTCTCCTTGGTTAGCCCTGACTCCAGCAGTGCTCCCAGCAGCTCCACCTGAAGATGACTCAGCTTAGAGACCATGGTCTTCAGTCTGGTGTCCCTTGGATTTGAGTTTCAGCACGTTCTGCCTTCAGCCTTCCCTACACCATGTTCCTGAGGTAACACGCCCGACTGTCAGCAAAGTGGGAATGGCATAGACTCCCGCCTTTGCACCCCCCAAAAAAACAAAATACAAAAATGAGCCACTTCAGACCCCCCACAACTGTCCTGAGCCAGTGCTGATAAAGGGACCCTTGACTATCTGTTTACATTGGAGCAGTGTAAATTCTCCAAGGTTCATATTTATCCGTGTGCTTAGCAAGTTACTGAACTTTGGACTTCAGCACTGCAGCAGCAGTTCACAAAGTGCAGCAAGGGGGGGGAGGGGAAAAGGTAGGGCGGCAGAAGAGAAAAGGAATGGACAGAGAAAAAGCCAGGATGAGAGACCGATAGAAGAGAGAAATGGAAAGAAAATTGAATGAGAAAGTGAGAGTGGAGAAGTCTGACTGGTTCTTGCCCCTATTGGTTTAAGAGCAGGGTTAGGCTTGAGGAACCAGAAGCATGGGACTAAGCCCCACCAAAACCTTTGGGTTGGGAATTAGCGGCCTCAGTAGCTGGGCCAATCTCTGTGCACCACACCCCAGGCATCCAGTATGACCTCTGGATTTATTCTAATACTCTCAAAGGGCTCCCATTGACTTCAGTGGGACAGGCTGAGGCACTAAATGACTGCTGAGCCAGTTCCCCACATTGACACTTACCTGTCCCCATTTCTCTTCATTGTAACCTACTGCCTTTATTATTCATTGGGTGCGTGCTCACACTGTGTACTCAGATTATAAAGGAGACATGGGGCCTGCCCCCACTCAATTTACAATCTAAGTAGACAAACAAAATAAACATGCAAGCTGTGTTCTGGGTATTGGTGTACCTACAACTGCTCCTCCTTTCCCTATGAGTGTCACCCACAGTGACTTCATTTATCAACACCATAGTTCCACCCCTATTGATACTAGTCTGCTTAAGGGATCTACTCCCAACTATTGGATGTCTTTTTAAAAGATATGCACTAGTTAATCCCAAAAGGTATGGGCTTGATGCAGGAATCACTTGGTCAAATTCTCTGGTCACTGTTGTATAGGAAGTCAGATTAGATGTTGTTAATGGTTACTTTTCACCTTAACACCTGTGAATGAATGTATCTACTCTGATTGGCAAACAGAAGGCATAATTAAAATTATCAATTTGTAATAGTCTGATCTCTAACTCCCAATACTGATTTTATATTTTGTGCCATCTTGACCGGGAATGGATGATTGTTTCCCTGGTGGGATCAGAGAGGGTAGGATTTTAACCAGAATGGGGGTCTTTGTAGATTCTCTCCCCCACATTTGTCCCCCTTTTATATGCTCCCCTCTAAGGCCCAAGCTGAGGAGGGCTGGATGGAGCTCCCACCACAGCCCAAGGACTGACCAAAGGTGATGCTGCGGAGTGACCTGGGGCACTCGCTTCCCTTTGGGGGCTTCCCAAGCCTCACTCTGTAGAGGTTCAATTGCATATTGAGCCAGCGAAGGACAAAGCTCCTTTTCAAAATGGATCCCCATTATGACAACACAACAAGCAGGCCCAGTTCTAGGGATGGGCAAGGAAGGTGTTTGCCCTTACTGGCAAGTTCTAACGGTTTTGGTGGTATTTTTTCTCTCCACTTGGCTGATTGGCTGTCTGTTTTTCTTTGGTGTTTTTTTGTTTTCTTTGGCCACAATAGGAGGCACTAAAAACATTTTCTGCCCTGGCCAGCAATATTCCCAGGGCCGCTTCTGACAACAAATCATCAGTGGATCGCTGGGTCAGCCCTTCAGCAGGGATTTTCACTAATAGTTTGCCTTTGTTTCAGATGACGTCTGCTCCAGAAAGCACCTCCACTCCTTGGCACAGGGCAGAGTACACAAGTAAAGTTAACATGGCTGACCAGGTCCTGGAACCCAGCCTCAGCCTGGTTAAAGGCACAGCATACTGTAGTCTGAGCCCCAATTGTAAGTTTGGAAAGCTTCTGTTGTAATTACAAAACCCAGTTTTGATGCATGTAGCTATGAAACTGCAATCCCCTCGTTTTCTGTGTGTTGCATCTTTATGTCTCAAGGACCTCTGCGTGCAGAGACAACAGCCATAGTGTTCCCAGAGTTGCTGCAGCATGTTGCAAAAGAGATGCATGTACACTGTGCTCTTTACTGCTGTTCTTTCATGTGGTGTTTTCTTTAAACTAAAATCAATCATTTAGACTGAAAATGTATTTTTTATTTTAAGAATGTTTGTATTTGTTGTCTCAAACATACAACAAAATAAAGAGCAGATTGGACAACGTCTAGACAAAGAGAGTTCACATTCCGATCAAACAACTGTGGGTGGAAAACTTTAGAGGGAAATATTTAAAGTTTCTGTCTGGTCTAAGGTGCTCCTCAGTATTTAGGGAAAAATAGAAAAGTAATTTATTTATTTTTTTAAATGACAGTTCTGATTTGGAGTGTAGGTTAATGGTGCATGCATTCTCTTTGTGTATAGAAATATATAACACTCATTAATAAAAGGACTCTTTCAGGTTAAAAATGATGTGTTTCCTACCCTGGGTTACATTTTTAGATAAAACCAGAAATAATTTCATAGAGTTTAAGGTCGAAAGGGACCTAGTCTGACCTGTATATCACAGGCCACCAACACCATGAAATCCAAATGAGACCTAAAGTATTAGGATCCACAGAAGACTAGGAAGGACCAAGGTACACCATTACTCAAGGCCCTTGTAATGGCAGGGAAATGATTACATGAGATATATCCAGATAAGCCTGGCAAGTGACTGACATGCTGCAGAGGACGGTGAAAAACCTCCAGGGTCACTGCCAATTTGACAGGTGGGAAAATTCCTTCCCAACCCCATATATGGCAATCAGTTAGACCTTGAGCATATGAGCAAGAATCAGTCACCCAAACACTTGAGAAAGAGAATGCTTGGAGTTGGTGCCACCTCAGAATCCTGGCCCACCCCACCGATGTCTCATCTCCAGCCATGGTCATCCCTGATGCCTCAAAGGAAAGAGACAACAAAATTCTCACAGAATACATTGGGGGCACAATTCCTTCCTGATCTCCGTCGGTTGCCAGGTGAAACCCAGACGCATGAGCTTTAGGAACATATGACATAAACCAGAAGTGAGACCTACTTCCACCATCAAAAGCAATCCTATCATACAGTTCTCATAAATTTGTCCAGCTCTCCCTTAAAATTAATTAAGTTGTTTGCACCAACTCCTATTGAGAGGCTGTTCCAGAACCTCATCCTTCTGATGGTTAGAAACCTCCTTTTAATTTTCACCCTGAATTTGTTCATGGCCAGTTTTATATCCATTTGTTCTTGTTCTGATTTGCAAAAAAGTAAATAATGAACTTAGACTAGTCAAGTTCATATTTGTTTCCTATAATTTCACTTTCTGGTTCATCTATATTACAAAGATGCTGAAAAGGAATCTTATTCTTTAAAATAAACTTTATTCTTTGCAGCAATAATAATAAAAATAACCTTGGAAATATTTTTATTGTTAGGTTTTGTAAAAATGAACTTTTTCTCATCACAAGTTTGGGCTCTGTTTTGACCTACCAATACCCCTTTTCATATAAATAGAAAATTATTTCCTGGGCAATTAAAATATAATAGTAAATTTCACTTCTGTTTGTTAGTTTCACTTTCAGACCGTTATGCACTATCACAGTGTTGTAATGTCTGGGCTGCAGTCACTGCAGAGGAAGATTTAAATCCAAACAAACTCATTCTACTGTTCTTTCTTTTTTTTTTTTAGATCATTTATATCAATATTAAATTTAGTAAAACTTACTTTAAAACCACAAACCCCCAAATTCTAGACTTAATTTGGAATAATGCTAGGAAGGCCCCAGGGTGAGACGGAGATTCTGGGACTGCCTCATGTCATTACAAGAATCTTGCTCCCTGACTGCATTTTTATAGAATCATAGAATATCAGGGTTGGAAGGGACCTCAGGAGGTCATCTAGTCCAGCCCCCTGCTCAAAACAGGACCAATCCCCAATTTTTGCCCCAAATCCCTAAATGACCCCCTCAAGGACTGAACTCACAACCCTGGGTTTAGCAGGCCAATGTTCAAACCACTGGGTTATCCCTTCCTCCTACACTAAAACAGGTTATTCTATATCTCTGTCTCATTCTTACTAAAGTTAAAAAAAAACAACCTTCAGGTTCCATATTCATGGTATGTGGGAATAAACTGAGGAATCTCTCTTCCAAATGGCTTTATTATGGTGCAGCCAAGTCACAGGAGCCCAAGTTCCAGTCATCATCAGCGTTTGGCAATTGTAGGGAGTTCAAGGTTTTGAAAAATGATACATGACAGGGATCAGATGCCTTAATTTGTGGACCTCAAAGTGATTTACAAACATCAGTGAATTAAGTACCACAATTACATACCCCGAGAAGGTAGATGAATTAAAATAATTATATAGCATTTTTCATTTGCAGAGCTTAAATTGCTTTATGATGTAGGTATTTTGCAGGTGGAAACCAAGGTACCAAAAGGTTAAGTGACTTTTCCAGGGTCACATAGGAAACATGTTGCAGAGCCACGAATAGAGGCCAGCTCTCCAAGCCTGAACTACAAGATCATCCTCCTTCCTGTCATTTGGGACTCCTCGGAGTTCAGACGCTTAAAAAAAATCTGAATTGACACTGACCATAAAAAGATTGCTGCTCATGTTGGGGACTTGAAGTCTTGTGTGACACTGTCCAATGACCTGCTCTGGCTGAGGTTTGGAGCAGAGCTAGTTGGGTCTTGAGAAAGCCATCTCCACTTCTTATTCATCAAAGCAAAGGTAATTGTGACTCACAGTCTTTAAATGTGCAGGAGATAGCAAAGGAATAAAGAGTAAGCAATAACTTGGGGAAACACCCTATTTTCTGGTGAAAAAAGGTGATGAGCTACCTCTCTGAATGGCTACCATGGACAGAGCACAATCCTGGGAGATTGTGTGTGGGAGGATTCCAGACAGCACAACTTGGGGGTACAGCTCACATTTCCCATGGACAGATACGATTATCACGGTTGCGTCCATTTGGTCAGTTTAGGTGGGAATTACTGTAGCAATTAGCACCTCTTAGCAAACTTCACACATGCAGCATTTATCAGTTTGGATGTAGATTGACACAAACTAGGAGCAAAGTGTAAACTGGCCATCTGCATTTTTGCCACTACTGAGAGCCTCTGAAGGGGTATAATAGTCCCACACAGCCTTATTAAACCTTTCACAGATAATGCAATTGCATTCTATATTTTTGTGAAGAGGGGAAGGTTAATTTTACAGTGATTGAGACCAATTTTTTAAAAATACATCTGGGATTTATGTTCCCAAATCCTGCTCTATATCATCATACTGTGAAGATTGCGGCTTCCCATTTGATTGTGAATTATTCTATTTAGTTATATTTAAGACATTAACATTTCTCTGTCACACTTGTAAAGTGCGTAGTGTAGTAATATGTTTTTCTTTATTTTTTTAGAGTTTGCTCTTCTGTTAGTGTAGTGTAATGAACTCACTATTCTGTGCAGCATAGCGAATTATCTTCTGTATTACACAGCAGCATTCCTTGAATTGAGTACTTTGGGCACAAACGTACCTGTCCAGGAAGTGCCCCCATTTCTTCTGAACACCACCTAAACTTAGACACGTTTGATTTCTTAGTTGCTTCTTGGGAAGAGCCCGCTCTTGAAAAGAGGAGCCAACATCTGGACTCATTACTGAAAGACACAAGTGAGGAAGATAATATCCAATAGTCTTTCTATAAAACCACAGGATATAGCTTCTTGATGCACTCAGAAACCATCTCCCAGCTAGTTCTGGTCCCCCTTGCAAGCTCCAGACATGGAAAATTTCAGAATGGCTGCATCTGAAAGCCAGTTGGAACCAAAGGATTTACTACTTTTAATCTTTCAGAGGTGCCTATTGTAAACTCCAGATGCCTGGACAAATAATTAAAAAAAAAATCGAAGGGTAAACATTCTTAATATAAAAACGTTACTGCCTAAAAGCTGTTTCCCCACACAATCCATCAAATCACAGATAAACTGATAAAAAGTTCAGAACCCCTAAACTAATACCCCGCCTCAAATCCTCCCTTCCTGAATAACCCAAGAGAAAAGATGAGCTTTGCAACATGTCCTACAGTTGAAAAACTGGCTCTATCAGATGCAAAGCAAGAGGGCAGGGAGAAAATGTTTCATTGACAACCTCACCAGCAGTGCTCTTCCTTTTAAATTAAGAGTTTGCTAGATTTTCTCTGATTATTGCAACTGGTGCAGTATCCCATGAGGACGTTATAGTTGTGGCATAGGTTAAAGGAGGAGGCTGAAGTGCTTTACCCAGTTAGGTTACAGTCCTACTACTAGAACAAGAACTAAAATGTACAGTGGCCCAAATTTGGACAGCAGAGATTCTTGTGACTTAATGGCATAGCACCTGGCAGCTTTTGCCATTATAATGAATATTTGCGTAATAAGGACTTGTTTTTGCTGCATCAATGTTCTTGTTTAATATAAATGTTCAGTGTTTGCGGACTTCCTTATCTGAAATCACTAACTTACTGAGTTGTGAATGACTTGATTAATTTAGGCTGTAATGTGAACTAAGTTACCATGCCTCATGATGTTTGCAGCTCTACTAGTGAAAGGAAGCGTTTAAGATTCATAGGCTCAAAATGACACCTGTCTTTTTTTCTTATATCTGTTTTCAACATCCATTTTATTGTTTTTAATGTCTATTTTTTGTGCAAAATTAATCACTACTATTTTCCTCCCAATTATGAATAAATGTAGTCACAGCAGCCCACTGCTGAAGATGAACCCTTCAGTGACAAAATAATATAGGTAACCCTACAATAATAAAGAAGTTTGCTCAATCCAGTGCTCATAAGCAACTTTACATTAACAAATGCATAAAGGAGAAATAAATCAAGAAGGAAGCAGATTTTAGGTTTAACCTTCAATATGTATTTTTTTAAGGGTGAGAGAAAAAAAATGACATTGCCTTTCTAAAGTTCTGTGCATGTTACTTTCAGCTAATAATTAATAATCTCCTTCACTTCCTCCCAAACAGTGGATAGGACAGTGCACTGCACTGGAGTTGTCTTACAGTGTTTAAATTGCTGGCATTTCCTGACAGACTTTTGGACCAAGGTGCATCTCCTGTATCTTGAATGAGGCATTCTATTCTACTGAATAATAATACTCTACTTTTGATTAACCATTCTAGTATTGTTGCTATTGTCAAGAATATTTAATAAAGTAGTTAACTGCAGATTAGCAATCAATGCCATGACATGAAAGTACCATGTGGGGGTGCTATATAGGTATTATTCTTATTTTAGAGCTGTTGGCCTGAATTCTGCTCTTTACAGCCATCTACTCCTAAATCAGAAGGTTGCTTGAACAGAATTGAGAGCAAATTCAGGCCCATAACATCTGATTTGTTCTGTCAACAACATAAATTGTAACCATTGTATTGAATTACATCCATCGTACTCAACTATTCCTCTTATACGTGCTGATAAATAAACATTGCAGTTTTCTATGGCAAAGTCTGCCCCTGATTTATCCACATCATGGCTCCAAGGAACATCTGGGGAAGGAACAAACACATATCTTCCTATAATAAAGAGACCACCAGACGGAGCCTATATAGTTCCATTAATGTAACAGCCACAGTGACATTAGCAAGGGAAAAACAGGGCAATAGTTCCTTTAATAATCATTTACTATTTTACTACATCTCTAGCTGAGTGTGTCAGTACTTTACTGGCATGAATTAATTTAACTTCACTATCCTTCCTCTTCCCAGATAGGGAAGCTGTCCTCCTCCTCCTAATCCCCCTTTTACGGTGAAAAGGAGCTATTATAAGTGCAAAGGATGATGATTATGATGATTTGTGCCCTGGGAGCTCACTCTTAATTAACAGGTTTCAGAGTAACAGCCGTGTTAGTCTGTATTCGCAGAAAGAAAAGGAGTACTTGTGGCACCTTAGAGACTAACCAATTTATTTGAGCATAAGCTTTCGTGAGCTACAGCTCACTTAATCGGATGCATACTGTGGAAAGTACAGAAGCTCTTTTTATACACACAAACCATGAAAAAATGGGTGTTTACCACTACAAAAGGTTTTCTTTCCCCCCACCCCACTCTCCTGCTGGTAATAGCTTATCTAAAGTGATCACTCTCCTTACAGTGTGTATGATAATCAAGTTGGGCCATTTCCAGCAATGCCCCTCTGCCATGTACATTGGTCAAACTGGACAGTCTCTACGTAAAAGAATAAATGGACACAAATCAGATGTCAAGAATTATAACATTCATAAACCACTTGGAGAACACTTCAATCTCTCTGGTCACGCGATTACAGACATGAAAGTTGCGATATTACAACAGAAAAACTTCAAAACCAGACTCCAGCGAGAGATTGTTGAATTGGAATTCATTTGCAAATTGGATACAATTAACTTAGGCTTGAATAGAGACTGGGAGTGGCTAAGTCATTATGCAAGGTAACCTATTTCCCCTTGTTTTTTCCTACCCCTCCCTCCCCCCAGATGTTCTTGTTAAACCCTGGATTTGTGCTGGAAATGGCCCAACTTGATTATCATACACATTGTAAGGAGAATGATTTTTAGATAAGCTATTACCAGCAGGAGAGTGGGGTGTGGGGGGAAAGAAAACCTTTTGTAGCGGTAAACGCCCATTTTTTCATGGTTTGTGTGTATAAAAAGATCTTCTGTACTTTCCACAGTATGCATCCGATGAAGTGAGCTGTAGCTCATGAAAACTTATGCTCAAATAAATTGGTTAGTCTCTAAGGTGCCGCAAGTACTCCTTTTCTTAATTAACATGTGGGATTGTGAGAAATCCTGGATAACGTTTGGTTGTTTTTTTTTTTTACAGGGTTACATGTCAGCTGTTCGTGCAAACTGTGAACACCTCACTAGATGGAAGGGGTACCAAAATACATGATTATGAAGGGATTATGATGGGAAATTAGTTTGTAGTAGAGCAGGAGAATAAACAGCTAATTTTTGGTAGGTACCGAACCTGGAGCCTTGTCCTCAGCAGAGCAATGTCTTGCCTCTTTAATTCCCTTCACCACATGGTGCAGGGAGCAGTTAAGATCAAGAAAACAGGTGTTTGATGCCCTTCCCTGACAATCCATTTTTCTAGGGAAATAGTTGAAGATCTAACGGACATGTAAAATTAGACTGGACAAAGAATGGAGAAAGTATGTCATAGGGAATGACCCTGCACTGGCCTGAGGGAGATGGAGGGGATGAACTACAAGTCTCATTTATCTCAAGTTTCCCCTCTCTCTTGAGGAGGATGTGCATGCAAATATGCCATCCTTTCATTCTTTGACCTGCCTGGATAAGCAAAGGTAGGAGCACAATTTTAAACCATCTACATTGTTGAGATTCATATTAAGATCTTGAATGCAGAAGAACCCATTGCAGTTCTGAGATAAATTCTAAGACTGGATTTCTGATTTTTGCCTTCTTTCCCTGCTCATTTCCATCCTCTCTTCTGCCCCCAAACCTCCACAGAGCTGACAACCATTCCTGTAATGTCTCTGTCTGCAAGGTGGTCATTTCACACTAGGCCCTCCGCTCTTATCTCTCTATTTCCATCAGTGAGGAATCAAGACTGGGTTTGTTAGACTGACACCTGATAAAAGCCAAGCTTTTTAGGTGATGGGGGAGGGCTCTGTGCTGTCAGTAGTGCTATCTGATTCCCCTCTACCATCAGTTCTCTCCCATGCTGTTACCTTACTGTGCCCTGGGAGCTACTTATGCAAACAGGGACAAAGAAGGTTCTTATTTGTTTGCTACCAGCACTGAAATGGCTCTGACAGGTCTAGGCACTACAGCAGTCTGTGTTCAAGATGCGGTACAGTGCCGTGCAGCTCTCCAAGAGCGACTGTAATGTCAGACTCTGATATCACTGAAACTCAGAGTAAAGCTCTCCATCTCTTTCAGGTCTGAGGAGATTCTGTGAAAGAGAGATATAGGATAAGAAAATAATCTGGGGAATGCAAGCAATGCCCCACCCCACACTGCTAAGAGTGTGTGCGTGCTGGATCTGCAGAAAGGAATACATCTGCCCTGTGAACTGTTCTCATTGTTACTGTGTAATGCTGCTGGAGCATGCCTGCAAAATCGTCATGAATGTTTACTAGCCTAGGCACAAACTCTACTTGCCTGCTTTTACCATGCTGCTTCTGAAAATCTAATGATACGTTAATTGCCCGTCAGGTAAAATCACCTGTGCTTCAAACTAGGATGGTAAGTAGAAAGAAAAGGAGGCACCTTGTGGCACCTTAGAGACTAACAAATTTATTTGAGCAGAAGCTTTCGTGAGCTACAGCTCACTTCAGGATAGTAGAGTTTTTCAAGACTGTACAATTAGAAACCATTGCAGCATGGGTAGTCAGTATGCATGCTGCTGTTGTATGGATACCAGAATTGTTGTTTTATGCCCCAGTCCCAGAAGAGTCCAGGAAACTAATCTGAAGAACTGAAAAGTACTTGAAGTATTGATTTACACTCCCCTCGGATAGTGGAAGAGAGCAGAAGATTATGCTCTACTTGCATGTAAAGACTTGTGAAAATAAATTGTTTGAACAAACTGATGCATAGTATGGTGGGAATTGCTCCCAGTGAAACTCTATTTGCAGTGCAGTAGAACGAAAAGTCCCAAATTCCTCACTATGTCACAGTTTTCCAATTTCAGTTTTGGTCATAGTGAATTGCTACTTAAGAGTGAGACTGTTCAGGGAAAAGAAAATGATTTCCCCTGAGAGGAGGTCCTGCTGCGTGTATTTTGCAGGGCTTATCTGGGCTCCCTGCAAAGCTATTCAAGCTCCATAGCCCAAGATTTTGACTGTGACTTTCTCCTCCATTCTTGTCCCATCTCTATCCCAAATTGTTGTCCCATGCCTGCTGGGGTGGGAATAGGGAATGTATCAGAAATAGTATATGTGTGTTTGAGGAGGGACCTAACGGAAGAGCAGATGGAAATATACTGTTAAATAGAAAGAAGGAAGCTGCAAGGTAGCCCAGTCAGGGATGATTTAAAGGAAAAATCCCGTGCTTTTTCCCTCCTTGGGGGTGGACTCTTATCACCATAACTGTTAGTAGGAACAGGCTGTTTTCCATGCCATATGATTCTGTCACATGAGCACTAATCATTGTATTAGCATCCCAACCCTTTCCTGGTGGGGTACAGAGAAAGGATCTTACTGTTCTGTGTTCATGCCTTGACCCACTACTTTTTCAGCAGTGGCAGCACAATTAGCTCCTGGCTGTGCAGCTGCTAGGTATTGATGAATGATTGTACTCAACTCTCCAGTGGTGACTGGGCCTCCACCTGCCACAGTTTTCCCCCATCGGGAATGAAAACTGAGCAAGTGCCTCCTCAAGTATTTCTACGTCATATTTTATAGTACTAATTTTTCACAGGCTTTACGAGCTGTATGGGTACATGCTACTTAGGTCAGATGTTCCTTGGCTTTTCCTCTACTGTCTGATCAGGATACCTTGGTGTGCAAAAAGTTTTTGCAGAGGGTCTAGAAGTAGAAGTGTGGCAACATTGCAGGGTTGATTGGCTCAGTCCAAGACCTCTGAAGGAAAGAGGGGAAGGAGATGACATTCCACACTCCATCATGCATCTATGATACATCTTTAACAGTTTTCATGGCATAGATATGTGGTACTTTAGGGGCACAGACAGAGAAGGAGAAGCCCTCAAACAAGTCCCAAATGTCATCTTTATTAATAAGCACTATTTTAATTGTACAGGTATTTTGGGTGCTCCCTCCTCACAGGAAAGACAAATATTTTATATAGCACTGAGCTCCTATGTAATACTTTTCTTTTTCAAAGAGCTTTACTATAAGTAACTAATCAGTCCACCCAATACCCCTGTGAGGTAGGGAAGTGTTGTTATCTCCATTTGATTGATGTTGAAACTGAGCCACAAAGTTGTGAAGTGACTCTCCTCAAGGTTACACAGAGAGCCAGTAGCAAAACTGGGAGGAGAACCCATGGCTCCCAATCCTATTCTGTAACCACAGGTCAACCTCCCGAAACAAAGCTGCTCTGTTTCAATACAATCAATAAGACTGACAAAATTATAGGTCCTGAATCCTTTCCCATCCAAATAAGACCAAGTAACCCAGCTCCTGATACTGCACTGTCCACTTCAGGAGGAATTAAGTGTGCTTGGATGTGGCATGTAAGGAGAATGCTCTAGTACCCTATTAAATCTTTTTGAGGACAACAGCAGAAAGAAAAATACTATAATTACAGTCATTAACATTATATTAATGAGTGCAGTCTCTGCATGTACCTTAAACATACACTATAAGGGCTATTTATTCCAGGCCTAGGTGGAGCTCTTCCATCTCTAAGGCAATTACATTACAGCCACCTGTCACTTAATACTAGCTCTTTACTCTCTGCCGTGTTAACGAGAATAGTGAAAAATACTGCAAGGCTGGATTGATGTCCAAGGGCTTAAACCTGAAAATCTTTACTCAGGCGAGTAGTTTCAACAAAGTAACAGGGAGTAAAGTTTATCTGAGTGAACAAAGCTGATTACGTGCAGCCAGACACCAGGGCAGTTAGAAGAGCGCAGCAGGGTGCGCTGCACATCAGAGAAGCTTTGAAAATCAGTTTCATGGCTGACCAGGCTACGGTGTGACAATTCTGTTTGTTTCTCCTTGATGAAAACCTGCCCCCTTGGTTCACTCTACTTCCCTGTAAACCAACCGCCCTCCCCTCCCCCCTTCCTTCACCGCTTGCAGAGGCAATAAAGTCATTGTTGTTTCAAATTCATGCATTCTTTATTAATTCATCACACAAATAAGGGGATAACTGTCAGGGTAGCCCGGGAGGGGTGGGGGAGGAGGGAAGGACAAGGCCACACTGCACTTCAAAACTTATTGAATGCCAGCCTTCAGTTGCTTGGGCAGTCCTCGGGTGGAGTGGTCGGGTGCCCGGAGGTCCCCCCTGCATTCTTGGGCGTCTGGGTGAGGAGGCTATGGAACTTGGGGAGGAGGGTGGTTGATTACACAGGGTCTGCAGTGGCGGTCTGTGCCTTTCCTGCACCTCAACCATATGGCAGAGCATATCAGTTTGATCCTCCAGTAGCCTCAGCATTGCATCCTGCCTCCTTTCATCATGCTGCCGCCACCTCTCCTGTTGCTCCAGCCATCTGTCCTTGCATTCATTTTGTGCTTTCCTGGACTCTGCCATTGTCTGCCTCCATGCATTCTGCTGGGCTCTTTCAGTTTGGGTGGACTGCATGAGCTCAGAGAACATTTCATCGTGAGTGCATTTTTTTCACCTTTTTATCTGCACTAGCCTCTGGGACGGAGATGCTAGTCGCAGTGTTGAAACATCTGCAGCTGTGGGAGGAAAAAAAGGAAGATTAAAACTGAAAAACACATTGGCCATTTAAAAGTAGGGGCTTATGTTTTCGGGTTAACGTGCAGCACAAACCCAACTAACCCCCCTCACACACAATTCTCTGGGATGATCGCGTCACTGCTCCCCTCCACCGTGTGGCAACAGCAGGGATGATTTCTTTTCAGCCACAGGCAAACAGCCCAGCAGGAACGGCCACCTCTGAATGTCCTCTGAATAAAATTCCCCTATTTCAACCAGGTGACCATGAATGATATCACTCTCCTGGGGATAACACAGAGAGATAAAGAACGGATGTTGCCTGAATACCAGCAAACACCGGGACCACACGCTGCCATGCTTTCTTATGCAATGATTCCAGACTACGTGCTATTGGTCTGCCGTGGTAAAGTGTCCTACCATGGAGGACACAATAAGGCTGCCCTCCCCAGAAACCTTCTGCAAAGGCTTTGGAAGTACCTCCAGGACAGCTTCATTGAGATGTCCCTGGAGGATTTCCGCCCCATCCCCAGACACATAAACAGACTTTTCCAGTAGCTGTACTGGCTGCCAGTGCATCCCAAGTCTTCAGGGCAAAGTAATCATTAAACATGCTTGCTTTTAAACTGTGTATTATATTTACAAAGGTACACTCACCAGAGGTGCCTTCTCCGCCTTCAAGGTCCAGGAGCCCAGGTTGGGAGGATATTGGATCCAGGGTGATAAACAGTTCCTGGCTGTCAGGGAGAATGGTTTCTCTGCTTGCCTGGTGTGTGCTATCTTCAACCTCCCCAAAATCCTCATCCCTGTTGTGTGAGGCTCCCCCCTTGCAGGAGTCCATGTAGAGGGGTGGGGCAGTGGTAGGGGCACCCCCTGATTGCATGCAGCTCATCACAGAAGTGGCATGTCTGGGGCTCTGACCCTGAGCGGGCATTTGCCTCTTGGGGTTTTTGGTAGGCTTGCCTAAGCTCCTTAAGTTTCACGCAGCACTGCTGCGGGTCTCTGTGATAGCCTCTGTCCTTCATGCCCTTGGAGATTTTTTTGGCAATTCGACCCGGTGATGTTGATTTCAGCACTAATCCCCTCGTTGCGGAGGAGTACAGAAATCGATTTTACGAGCCCATTAAGTTGACAAAAATGGCTTTGTTGTGTGGACGGGTGCAGGGTTAAATCGATCTAACACTGCTAAATTTGACCTAAACTCGTAGTGTAGACCAGGGCTCAGACAGAGAAGAGGGAAGGGACAAGTCATATCAACAGGTGACAAGTTTTCTCCCTGACAGATGGTTTTGACATTGTGTTTGGTGTTACAGTGAGACATCCATTTAGCATTTTGTCTCAGCATGTTTGGATGTTTTGAATGTTCTTTTGTCCCCCTGCAGGCTTTCCTAAAAGAATCTTGAGCTTCTGGTTTCTTTAATCTCCTTTGTTGTCTTTAAAGAAAAAATCAAAGATGTCTCTGTAAGTGTCAGTTTTCTGAAACGTACTAGGGAATAAGAAAAGGAGTACTTGTGGCACCTTAGAGACTAACCAATTTATTTGAGCATGAGCTTTCGTGAGCTACAGCTCACTTCATCAGATGTTTACCGTGGAAACTGCAGCAGACTTTATATACACACAGAGAATATGAAACAATACCTCCTCCCACCCCACTGTCCTGCTGGTAATAGCTTATCTAAAGTGATCAACAGGTGGGCCATTTCCAGCACAAATCCAGGTTTTCTCACCCTCCACCCCCCCACACAAATTCACTCTCCTTACCAGCAGGACAGTGGGGTGGGAGGAGGTATTGTTTCATATTCTTTGTGTGTATATAAAGTCTGCTGCAGTTTCCACGGTAAACATCTGATGAAGTGAGCTGTAGCTCACGAAAGCTCATGCTCAAATAAATTGGTTAGTCTCTAAGGTGCCACAAGTACTCCTTTTCTTTTTGCGAATACAGACTAACACGGCTTTTCCTCTGAAACCTGTCATTGTACTAGGGAATGTAATTAAAGGAGAATTCTAAAATTTCAGAATCATTATACCAAAGACATAATATTTATCAACTGCCCCTCCTCCGACAAACAAACACACATTCCTCAGAAGTAGCACATCCCTGTGAAGTGACACGAGTTTTGTGGAACTGAAACAGCAATGGGAAAAGCAGTTGGTTTTCAAGGCTTCAATCTGTATATCCGGGTGTGTAAAAGAGGGAATAGAAATATAGTTGCGTTAAATTAGGGTGTGATCCTCCTCACCCCAGTAGTTCCACTGAAGTTAGGATTGCAGGATTGGGCCTCTAGCTTGTTTCCCCTCCCCCAAGGCAGATAAAGTCTGGCCTTTATAGACAAAAAGACAAGCTGTGTGCATGCATGCGTAGCCCCTCCTTTCCACAGTCTCTGTAAGTGTGTTTCTCTCATGTTCTCCCCCAGCACTGGAAGGAGATCACTCTGCAGGTAAATTTGGGGAGGAGGGGAGTTTCCCTCTTTTTTTTCTTTTTTTTTGGACTGAAGAATCACATAGAAGCTACTACTGGATATTTCTTGAGCAAGGAGAAGTAATAAAAACAAGCTAATGAGATACATGCATTGCAGGATTGGCACATCCATTTTAAATGCCAATAGCATCTTCTGTTATAAATTCAGCATTTCCAGGTAATGAGGGAGACAACAGAGTAGCAACCTCAGGAACTGTGAGGAGTGCAGTTATCTCTCTGTCCTCAGATCCCATACCTCATCTGCCTATTGACAAAAACCAAGTTGATTTGAAACAAAAGTTACATTTACCACGCCAGATTTTTAAATAAATATCTAAACATATCCAAACCCAGCATTCACTATCAACTTCTTTTGACTGAGGAAGCTCATGAGTTCACAGGACTGAGTCCTAGATCTACCCATGACCCCACTCAAATGTTGTCACCTCTGGGGAAGGTGGCAACCAACCAATTACATGGCACTCTACAAGCAGAATGAGAGAGGTGGAAATGTGGCTAGGGAAACCCAGGAAAACCTCTTACACTTAAAAAAAACAAAATTAGACCGTGGAACTCATTGTCACAGGACGTGATTAAGACCAAGACTTTAGAAAGATTCAAAAAGGATTGGACATTTATATGGTTAACAGTTAATGCTAACAAAAATTTTGGACAGAATATAAAACCTCATGCTTCTGGGTTTAAACCAGTTTTAGGGATTTGGATGAGATTTTCATGGGAGAAGGGCAGATTATCCCACATCTGCCTACTGTGGAGTTTCTTGCGCCTTCTTCTGAAGCATGTGGGTGCTGGCCAGTCAGAGATAGGATGCTGAACTAGATGGACCATAGGTCTAATCTCATATGCCAATTCTGATGTTCCTAGGGATCTCAGCCCTAAATTATTAAACTGGCTCTATTACTCTCAGGGCTCACAAACTGCAACATGTCAGAAAAAGATATGCATAAATTAGACTCAGACACATCCTCCCTCCTTAAAATGGATGTCACCTTCAAACTGCTGATGTATAGGCTCTGGTCCCAGAGTTCACCCAATTCACTACTAAAAGACTCCCTGAGTCTACCCCCATTTTCTTAGAGTGATCGTACACTGTAAGAGCTTCCCAGTCTACCTGATACTACCAAGGCCATTCCCTCCATACAGACTCCCAACTACTGCAGCTAACACTTCCCAAAACAGCTTTCCAGTTGGAAGGAGGGATTTCCAGCAAGTAGTCAGACTTTCACTGCCAGCAGAACTCAAGTGAACTAAGAGAAACAAACCAGATGTGTGACGGGTCAGAATTCTGCCCAGTTTTGTTCTGTCTCCACCATTTAGGGTTCGAATCAGGTACAAGACTCTCTCTGCTCCTTCCTAATACATTGTTTACACCGATTACATATAAAGGCGGAAGAGCTGAGAGGCGATCAGCCCGTAGCAACATCCCGCCGCAAAGGCAGTTGCACCGGGCAGGGAAGGTAATTCCTTGCAGACGGAGAGGAGAACCGCGCCCCCAAAGCAGCCGTGCTGGGCGGAGCCCCTTACGCGGTGGGCGTGGCTTCTCGGGCTCATGCTATCCCCCTGAGCTGCGAAGAAGGGGGCCGGGTGCAGGCTCCACCCTACTTCTACTCCCTAGGCAGTTTTCTTGCACTACAGGGAAAATGTAATATTTCAGAATGAGCAGTCTCGAGTCCTGCACCCACCTGGGATAAATAGGTCACACGCACCCAGAAAGCACCATGTCCAGCACTGAGGGGAGTGACTAGCTCAGACGCTCCCCCCCCCCCCCCGGGAACGCTCCATGTCCCAGCACTGAGGGGAGTGACTAGCTCAGACGCTCCCCCCCGGGAAGGCTCCATGTCCAGCACTGAGGGGAGTGACTAGCTCAGACGCTCCCCCCCGCCCCGGGAACGCTCCATGTCCCAGCACTGAGGGGAGTGACTAGCTCAGACGCTCCCCCCGCCCGGGCCCCACCCCCAGGGGCTCCAGCCCTCCCCCCCCCCGGAAGGCTCCATGTCCAGCACTGAGGGGAGTGACTAGCTCAGACTCTCCCCCCCGCCTCCCCGGGAACGCTCCATGTCCCAGCACTGAGGGGAGTGACTCCCCCCCCCCCCCCCCCGAACGCTCCATGTCCCACACTGGGGGGTGACACTCACCCCCCCCCTCCCCGGGAAGGCTCCATTCCCAGCACTGAGGGGAGTGACTAGCTCAGACGCTCCCCCCCCCCCCCCCCGAACGCTCCATGTCCCAGCACTGAGGGGAGTGACTAGCTCAGACGCTCCCCCCGCCTCCCCGGGGGCTCCTGTCCCACACTGAGGGGAGTGACTAGCCCCCCCCCCCCCCGAACGCTCCATGTCCCAGCACTGAGGGGAGTGACTAGCCAGCTCCCCCCCGCCCGCCCGCCCCGGGAAGGCTCCATGTCCAGCACTGAGGGGAGTGACTAGCTCAGACGCTCCCCCCACCCCCCAGGAAGGCTCCATGTCCCAGCACTGAGGGGAGTGACTAGCTCAGACTCTCCCCCCGCCCCCCCGGGAAGGCTCCATGTCCAGCACTGAGGGGAGTGACTAGCTCAGACGCTCCCCCCCCGCCCCGGGAACCTCCATGTCCCAGCACTGGGGGGTGACTGCTCAGACGCTCCCCCCGCCCCGGGAAGGCTCCATGTCCAGCACTGAGGGGAGTGACTAGCTCAGACGCCCCCCCCCCCCCGGGAACCTCCATTCCACACTGAGGGAGTGACTACTCAGACGCCCCCCCCCCCCCGGAACCTCCATGTCCCAGCACTGAGGGGAGTGACTAGCTCAGACGCTCCCCCCCGCCCCGGGAAGGCTCCATGTCCAGCACTGAGGGGAGTGACTAGCTCAGACGGTCCCCTCCCCCCCCCCCGGAACGCTCCATGTCCCAGCACTGAGGGGAGTGACTAGCTCAGACTCTCCCCCCGGGATGGCTCCTGTCCCCAATTCTCGAGCGGGGAATAAATAGGCAACACGACCTCACCCCCAGAGAAAGTGAACCGGTCGCACTCCCGGCAGAAGGCTCTGCCTCTCCGCCCTGGAGGACCCCAGGGAACGGAGTGCGGGCAGGCCCAACGCCCAACCGCGTCAGATTCCGTAATACTTCTGCGCGAATGGGCTGGCGGCGGCACGTGAGCGTGTTGTGGGCATGTGACCCGCGCGGCCGCAGGCTCCGCCCCCCCCCCCTGTGCGCGAGCGGAGTCTGAGCGGCCTCGCCTTGGAGCTGGGTACGCGGAGTTTTCCCTTCTCTTTCTCCCAGCCCGGACGCCGTCGCCGCTGCTCGGTCATGAGGCCTGCCCGTCGTCGGCGCCCGAGCACGGCCCTGTGGCGCGGCTACTGAGCAGCCCCCCCACCGGGCGGGGACCCCTTCTCTCCCCTCCTTGCTTACAGTCGCCGCCATGTTGGGCCGGGAGCCGCAGCGGGGCCGCCACTGAGCCCCGGAGCAAGTGAGGAGGAGGAGGAGCCGGGGCTTGGCCACCGCCGCGCAGCTCGGCCGCCCAGCAGCAGCCATGGCGGAGCAGACCTACTCCTGGTGAGCAGCTGGGCCAGGCCGGCGGAGGAGGCCCCGGGGCGGCGGAGCAGGGGGAGGGTCGGCGGGGACTACTACGGACCCGGGGATAGGCCGGGCGCAGGGCTGTGTGGTGGGCGCGGGGATGTATGAGAGGAGGCGGCCCGCGGGGACGGGCTTGTGACAGGGTGCGGGGGAGCAGGTGTCGTCCTTGGGGACGGGTGGGTAAGGAGCCGGGGCTGCATCTCTCCTCTGGGATGGAGCGGCGGCTCGGAGGCTGGGCTGGAAGGCCCCGTCCCTCCCTGAAGGGAGTGTGTCAGAGCCCCCAGAGGAGGCAGTGGGGAGCTCTGGGCGCGAGGTCTGTGGTGTCGGGTAAATCTGTAACTGCGGAACTGGGCGCTTATTCTGCACCGGCGTTTATAGAAATGAGTGACCGGAGATACTCCCTTGAACGGCTGCAAATGTAAGTAGGCCTCTCTATAAACACAGAGTGCTGCTCTCTCAGCCGCTTTTGTAGCAGCAAGAAGTCCTTTTAGGGTACTTGGGCACGTTCGTGGCTATAGGTGTGACACTAAACTCCTCTGAGACCCAGAGTAAGGAGGGAGCCATCCTTCCTGCAGTTAAAAGGTAGTGGGTATTAATTCTCCCTAACTTTAGCTCCAGATCCATTACTAGGTCAGAAGAGCTCTCTTGATAAGACTGGCAGAGTTTTTTTTCACGTACTGATAATACTGTAAAAAGAACAGGAGTACTTGTGGCACCTTAGAGACTAACAAATTTATTTGAGCCTAAGCTTTCGTGAGCTACAGCTCGCTTCATCAGTCTCTTTTTGTGGATACAGACTAACACGGCTGCTACTCTGAAACCTGATAATATTGTCTTCAGGAAATAAAAAAACAGGGTGAAGAAGCCAGTTTCTGTGGGAAGAAGTGAAACAGAGCAACAGAGAATAGGAGGCATTGTGTGTCTGTCCTGATCCTCTGTCAGGCCTGGTTGGGATTCAAGATTTGATGACTTCCATAGCTTGCTTTTGATGATTTAAAGAATTTAAAAAGGAAAATATTTCAGATAGTCTAATTGTGCAAAGGTGCCAAAGGAACAGCTGAATTGCTTGGAAGAATATTGCGGTACTTGCGTTGTAGTGCTTTACTCTTCCATATTTTTAAACAATTTTGTTGTAAAGCGAGAGTTCTTATGTTTTTTGAAAGTTTTATGAGATTATTATTAAAAGAAGAAAAACTTGAGCTTTAGACTTTAGGGTGTACCATATGTGGAGGGGGCATTGCATTTATTCAGTTGAGCCAATGAGGAACCTTTCCACTCTAAATGCTTCTGAAAATCTTTATCACTACCTTTGATTTGATTCTTTTAAATAGGTGTGGTGTTATTGTTACATGTTCTGTTTTTAGAACAATACTAAAGATAACCGCAGAAAGCACTTCAGTTTTTATTCCAGAGGAGATTAATATTTCTGTAGTCTACATATGTTAAGCAAGTGAAGTGGAAGATAGGAGTTAGCTGGGATTTTAACCACTTGATACATTAATAGAGCTGTGGCTCTTCCTTGCTATAGCAGTATAATGCATGAGTCTCAGAACAGACTGAGTATTTTGCTTTTACTTATATCTATTGATATAATCTACTGTATCTGGTGTTTACACTTTATATGTAGGGCTTTAATCAACATAGCATGGGAAATGTAGTGAGAAGAATGGCAAAGACCTAGTTTGGAATGGAACAATTCTATTATAGCTTTTGCACTCTTCTCTGCCCGCAAAACGTTTGATTACTCATCACGGCTGTCAACAATCTCTGGATTTCTTTATATAAGTATGGTAATACAGTTCTGTACACAATCTTCTAATGGTACAAGTAGTATGTTTATTGTAAAGTAGAAAACTAGTGTTTCTTGGGAAAGCTGTTGAATACGTGGTGCTGCTGTGGTCTTTTGCAGTTGGTGGTTCATTTCTCCTCCATGTGCTAGATCTAAGCCTCTTTTTGTGCTTTAATGGGCAGCTTTATCAAAGTGAATGGCTTTTCTGTCCCATAGGATAATACCATTTCTAGTATGTTGGGTATCCTGCCTTGACAGCAGCCAACCCCAAACACCTTCCCTACTGGATGGCTGTAGGTGTAAGGTTGTAGGATTTTTCTGACACCTACGGGGCTTATCTTCTGTCCTGAAGCATAATATTTGATCATCTCATCTTACCATGCATAACTATCAATGTTAATCATAGAAAGAAAAGGAGTACTAGTGGCATCTTAGAGACTAACCAATTTATTTGAGCATAAGGTTTCGTGAGCTACAGCTCGCTTCATCGGATGCATTCAGTGGAAAATGCATCCGATGAAGCGAGCTGTAGCTCACGAAACCTTATGCTCAAATAAATTGGTTAGTCTCTAAGGTGCCACTAGTACTCCTTTTCTTTTTGTGAAAACAGACTAACGCAGCTGCTACTCTGAAAGTTAATCATAGAGTCACTTAACTTTGTAATACTTGGTGTACTAGCCTCAAAATGAGTGACAAGAATTTATTTTCTGGGGTGATTATGAATACTGTTTTCCTGGGAATGGCTAATCTTGATATGCAATGTGGAACAAGTGGCAGAAGGAAATGTTATTTTAAAAAGTGTTGAATGAAAATGCTTGCTAATGGTGAGTGGGGAGACTTTTTCTGCCAAGTTCCTGCAGTAGTCAAATGAAGTTCATAAGAATGTAGTTTGTTTCAGTGCTACTGCTTAAAGTTCTGACCAACAGTGAAACTGAACTGATGCATTTACCATTGAATTATTCTGGAAACTCATGAGCATCAGAGTTACGAGCTTACTCCTCCTTTGGTGGAAGGTGACAGCAGAAATATTGCAAAGGGTGTGAGTAGAGGCAGAGTGGGAATCTCCCCAACCTAACTTCCAAGCCAGGAAGTGGGTATGTATTGAGAATGTCTCATCAATCAGAAAGGAGTTTTCTCTCTTTAGGAGCACCAAGGGGAGGGAGGGGGAAGTGGCTGTCCATCAT